TAATAATACATCTTAAAAGGAATTCTAGATTGGATAAAGTTTGATGGATTATGGTATCTATCTAGAGTGGCAGGTAGCAATGCTGACCTGTGTAGCAATCTTTTTATCTAAAACATATTCTCTGAACCCTAAACCTTAGTAGTAGTTCTGTTTTTTCCAGAAGGAAATAAAACTTAGCAATAATCTATTTAGGAAATTCCCATAGGGAAGCCGATGCCTTCATTTTCTTTTACCTTCCCCGAGAAATCTCCAGTGTACTGATTTTGTTTTTAGTAGAAAGAATGCATGTCTATTTAAAAGAATTCAAATACTGTAATAAATACAAAAGTCAGGAACCTCCATCTTCACTGTTAAGTCATCAGTGTGTATGTCTGTGATCTGTCAGCAGGTGTGCGTAGCTTCCATATGGGAACATTATATACTAGGGCAGTTTTTTTTTTTTTTTTCCCACTCAGCCACGTGTTATGGCTACCATTTCATTTAAGAAATGTTAATTGATTGGTCAATCCTAGTGACTGAGTTTCCATTTTAGAACTGTACTATGTGATTTAAAGGAGTTCTTGCTAGGCTAATCAGTTTTCTAGCATCATTGTAAATAGTGCTTTGATACCATTTTTATGTATGGATGTTTATTGTAAGAAATTGTGTTTTTGTTGTTGTTGTTGTTTGTTTGTTTTTTTTCAGTTTTTTGAGACAGGGTTTCTCTGTGTAGCCCTGGCTGTCCTGGAACTCACTCTGTAGACCAGGCTGCCCTTGAACTCATAGAGATCTGCCTGCCTCTGCCTCCATGAGTGCTGGGATTAAAGGTTTAAAGCCACCACCTCCTCCTGGCTTGAAATTATGTTCTGATGATTTTTAAGATAAATTGTAAAAAGTAGGATTTTTTTGTTTTTTTTTTTTTTTTTTGTTTTTCTATTTTGTTTTTGAGATATCATTTCACTGTATTCTCCTGGCTGTCCTGCAACTGTGTAGGGCAGGCTGGCCTTGAATTCACAGAACTGTACTTGCCTCTGCCTCCAAAGTGCTGCTGGGCTTAAAGGCACTCGCCACCACGCCAACTTGCAGGATTCGAACCTGTGTTTATTCACACACACATCTGTTAGTACTAGTGTTTGCACTTGGTCTTAGCTGAGAGGCCAAGAAATGATTTTTAGTAGTTTTAAAAGCTTATCACTCTGTTGCTTTAAAGGTAACAATGCAGTTTTGATAAAATAACACATAATATTAAAACATCTTATAAAAACAAACTAATTAGTATTTTAAGGTCTGATTCCTAACCTTTAAAAAAGTGATCTTGGGGGTGGGTGAACCCCAAGATGAGACACTTTCCACAAAACCTGGTGACCCAAGTTCAGTTCCCGAGATCTACATGCCAGGAGAGGACTGACTTCCAAATGTGTACCTTGCTGTGGAGCCCCCATGGGACTAGACTAGGCCCTCTGGATATGGGAGACAGCTGTTTAGCTCGAACTGTTTGGGGGACACCTGGGCAAGGGGATTGGCATTCATCCCTGGTGCATGGACAGGCTTTTGGAAGCCCGGTGCCTGCCTGCGCTGTGCCACCTTGAGCAGCCTTGGTGCGGCGGGGAGGGGCTTGGACCTACCTTGGCTAGGTGTGCTGGGCTCTGCTGGCTCCTCATGGGAGACCTTGATTTGGAGGATGTGGGGATGGGGGTGGCTTGGGAGGGAGGGCTGGGAGGGGTGGGAGGAGGGAGGAGGTGGGATCTGTGGGTGGTATGTAGGGTGAGTAGAAAATTTCTTAATTTAAAAAAAAGTGTGCCTTGGTGAGTGTTCACACACAACAAAATAAATAAAATGTAAGCTGGGTGGTGGTGGCACACTCCTTTAACCCCAGGACTTGGGAGGCAGAGGCAGGCAGATCTCTGTGAGTTCAAGGTCAGCCTAGTCTACAGATCGAGATCCAGGACAGGCTCCAAAGCTACACAAAGAAACCCTGTCTCAGAAAACCAAAAACAAACAAACAAACAAAAATAAAACAACAACAAAACCAGATTTTGTCCTACTACTTAGTCAAAACCTTTAATATATAAATGTTGTAGGTGAGAAATTATTCAGCCACAGGGGTAAAAAATGGAAAACAGCAAAATGGAACAAGGAAAAAAATAATAGGTGGAAATATAGAAAACCAAAAGGAGTTGGAACTTAACCTGTACTCTTTCAGGGTCCTGATTGGACCTGAGAATCAAATTGATCTCAGATGGATTATTAGGAGAAAAGCATACAAAGGTCACAGAAGTTTTACATAACATGGGACCCAAAGAAATAATAACATAGATATGCTTTGTTTGGATCTTAAGTTGAACAAAGGCAGTTGTGGAAAGCTAGACAAATGATGCACAAAGATTACAAAGAAAAACATTATTTTTTTTGAACAGGGTTTATCTGTTGGATTCTCTGGGCTATAGCTTCTGTTAAGAATGTTCTTTGGGGCTAGAGAAATGGCTCAGTGGTTAAAAGGGTTTATTGCTCTTATTAGGAGATGCAGGTTCAATTCCCAGCATCCACATGATGGCTCACAACCACATGTAACTTCAGCTCCAGAGAATCCAGTGTCCTCTTCTGGCTTCCTGCACACGTGTAGTGTATATAAACTCATACAGGCATCACGTAAAAACAATACATCTTTTTAAAAAAGAAGAAAAAAATAAAGATGTTTCTTTTGCTGTACTGAGAAAAGGCATCTTTCTTGCTTGACTTTAAAAAAATTACTTTTAAAAATTCTTGTTTTCAGGAATGGGAACTGTGAGAATTGTCTTTTTGCATGTGTTTTTCAAGGCTTTTTGTTGAAAGTAACCCTTGTATCAGAATGATATATTTGGAGTACTCTTAGATAATAATGATTAATGTGAAAAATGGGCTTGGAAACATCTGGATCTAAATCCTAGTTCTGCCTCTTACTAAGCTGCAAGATCTGGGGAAGCTTGTTACTTCTTGTCTTAGGGTTTCTATTGTCGTGAGGGGACACCGTGGCCAGGGTAACTCTTAATAAGGAAAACTTTTTATTAGGGCTGGCTTACAGGTTCAGAGGTTTAGTCCATTATCGTCATGGCAGGAAGCATGGTGGCATGCAGGCAGACATGGTGCTGGAGAGGTAGCTGAGAGTCCTACATGTGGACCCATAGGCGTCCGGAAGAGAGCAACACTGGGCTTGAGCATTTGAAACCTTAAAGCTGGCCCCCAGTGACATACTTCCTTCAGCAAAGCACACCACCTAACAGTGCCACTCCCTATGAACCTATGGGGGCCATTTTCATTTAAACTGCCACGCCTGTTTGTTTATATTCTCCTTTGAAGTGGGGGTAATAAAATATCTGGTGTTCTAAGGATTAAATAACAGTAGTAATAATTATAGCTAATACTTTTGAATTCTTACTATGTACGTCAGATATATTAAATGCTTATATGTATTTTAAGCATGGTTAATATGTATTATCTTAGTTCTCCCAAACCTGCAAAGTGTAGGTAAATTTTACTGGTGATGGAACTAAAACAGGAATTTTTAAAAAAGTTGCTGTAAGCAAAACAGCTTAGAAGTGGCAGCAGCGGAATGTGAGCCCCCAGCAGTTGAGCCTCTAGGGCAGTGAGCACCATCCTCCTGGCCTGAAAAGCACTTAGCCCTTTGCATAGCAAGTGGGATTCATTTATTTTTGAGACAGGATCTTGCTTTGTAGCTGTGGCTGGCTTGGAATTGACTGTGTAGACTGAACTGGCCTCAAACTAGTGTTGATTCTCCTATCTCTGCCTCTCAAGTGCTAGAATTGCAGGTGAGAACTACCTCACCCAGCCTGCATAATTAATATTTATGTTTAAGTTATCTTTTAAAAACAGTGTGTAAGAGAATGAGAAACCACAGGCTGGGAGAAAATATTTGCAGAAGACATCAACTAAAGGTTTGAAAACTCTTAAAACTCAATAATTAGAAATTTAAAAAAACAAAACATGAACAACAACCTCACCAAAGAGGATATACAGAGAACAAGTAAGCACTTACAAGATGTCCCACATATGTCTGTAGGGAATTATGATTTGAAACATACCCATAAGACTGTTGGTGATTACACAGACACCATTGGGATATGGAGCAGTATTCTCATTCAGCGCTAGTAGGGATGCAAAATGACACAGCCACTTTGGAATTCAGTGTGGTAGTTTTCGACACAAAAATAAGCCCATTATATGTTCCAGCAGCTATGTTGTTTGGTATTTCCTCAATAAGTTGAAAACTATCCATACTGAGATCTTCACCCACATGGTAATTCATAATTTCCAAACTTGGAAACAGCATGTGTCATTAATTAGGTGAAAGGGTAAACAAACTGGTACATTCCAGCACTAAAAAGAAAGAAGCTATCAAACCATGAGAAGAACTATAGGAACTTTTATATATATATATATATATATATATATATATATATATATATATATATATATACACACACACACACACATACATACACATACATACATACATACATACACACACACACACACACACACACACACCACACATATATACACACTAGATAAAAGCTAACCCGAAAAGTCTATTATTCTTTATGTCATTCTAGAAAAGGTGAAAGCAAGGCGGTAGTAGAAGATGAGTGGTTGTCAGCAGTCCGGGGAGGTAGAGGTGAATAGCTGGCGCACAGAGGACTTTTAGGGCAACCAAACCTTTCGGTATGAGGAAATGGTGGCAACGTTTCATTATACATTGTTAGATCCCATAGAATGTGAAGCACCAAGACTGAACCCTAATGTGAGCTGTGCATAGAAGTAATAATGGCATGTTAATGTAGGCCCATTGGCTTCAGCAAAGCAGGTGTAGACTGTGAGGTGGGGTTGTGGGGGACACAAAGGAACTTAGTGCTGCTGTTCAGTCTTGCTGTGAACCTAAACATTTTCTTAAAAAAGGAAAAAAATTGAAATGTAAAAGCAAGCATTTAAAGTGTGACAGATATTTCTGATACTTTGATTTTTAGGCCCAGAATAAAGAGACCAATGTTTTAGCTGCTGCAAAGGTGATTGACACCAAATCTGAAGAAGAACTTGAAGATTATATGGTTGAGATTGACATATTAGCATCTTGTGATCACCCGAACATAGTCAAGCTTCTAGATGCCTTCTATTATGAGAACAATCTTTGGGTAGGTAACTTCCATTCCTTTACAGAGCAGCCGGAAGGAGTTAATTGTCCTAAAGAGGTTGTGAACACTCATTTTGTGTGCTTCCTCTTCTATTTACTTACTTGCATTACTTGATTGAGGGTTGACCTGCCAGTGAGAGTCATTAACAAGATAACGATCCTCAGTTTCAATGGATGTTCAGTTTTAGTTTCAGATTATACTATTGCATTACCATTGTTTGACACTGGATCTAGGTGGGAAAGCTTGTTCAAGAGTATTACAGTTTCCAAGATACGTTTGTGTTTGTAGTTTCAATTTAAGTATTAAATATTTTCGAAGGATTGTTTCTCTTTTCTTTGCCCTTCCTTCCTTCCTTCCTTCCTTCCTTCCTTCCTTCCTTCCTTCCTTCCTTCCTTCCTTCCTTCCCTTTCCTTTCTTTCCTTCCTTCCTTCCTCCCTCCCTCCTTCCCTCCCTTCTTTTCCTTTCTTCCTTCCTTTCTTTCGTTAGTTCTTTCTTCTTGGCTTTTTGAGACAGTGTTTCTCTGTGTAGTTGTGGCTGTCCTGGAACTCACATTGTATATAGATCAGACTGGTCTCGAACTCAGAGATCCACCTGTCCTCTGCCTTCCAAGTGCTGGGATTAAAGGTGTGTGTCATCACTGCCTGCTGAAGGTTTGTTTTTCTGTGTGTTATTTATAATTTTTATCCCAAAGTTTTTGTAAGTCATGCAGTACTATGAGCTATGAGAGATGTAAAATTTTACACTAGTCTCAACTTCACTGCATGATGAAGTGGTTAAATTATATACATTTTGTTCATTTTTAAGAAAATAGTAATAAATAGATAAAGCAATAATATTTTAATATTTACTTGAACTAATATAATTTTATCAGGAGCTTTTTTATAAATTAAAAAAATATTGATTTATGTATGTGGGTGTTTTATCTGCATGTATGTCTGTGCACCATGTGCATTTCTGGTTCCTATGGAGGCAGGAGGAGGACATCAGATCTCCTGGGACTGGAGTTACAGATGGTTGTGAACTTCTGTGTGGGTCCTGGGAATCAAACCTGGATCCTCTAGAAGAGCAGCCAGTGTATGCGCTGTTGAGCCATCTCTCCAGACTCTCAAGAAAGCTTTTTATAAAATAGACTTTTAGATGTTTTTCTTAGAACAATGACCATATGGCTTGAAATCAAAAGGCTATTAGACCCATCTGCTGCCAGTTAGGAGCTTGGTTGGCTCAGCTCACTCTTGAGCCTGTGTTTCTCTGGGGGATGAAAAAAATATTTAGCTCTTGAATTATTTTTCAAATCATGTAATGAACTTGAAAATAAGTTGTAATCAGCAAGCACTTATAAAAATATTGTATAGCCTGGTGTGGTGATGTACACTTTAATTGAAGCACTCAAGAGGCAGAGGCAGGTAGATTTCAGTGAGTTCCAGGACAGCCAGCGCTATGTAGAGAGATCCTGCTTCAAAAAACAAAAACAAACTAAAAATTTTTTAAAAGAGGGAAGATGTATGAAATTACACTGTTTGCTAAAAATATTACTTTAAAAAAGTATAGTTATTATTGGTGTGGTGTCTCTAAAATACTTGTTCAGGGCTCTAGCCAAATATTTTTAAGTATTACAAGAAAAACTCTTAGACATTTTAACAAATAGACCTTTATTTGACACTATTGCAAAATAAAAATTTGGTTTACTCTGTGGTACAATTTAATGGGAGACATAGATATAAACAAAATAATCATACTACAAAATTATAGCTAGTACCAGTGAAGAAGATCAGGTACATGACAGTGATAATTGAGTTTGAATCTGTGTGTTGTGTGCCTGCCTGCCGGCCTTCTCCACCCTCCACCCCTCTTTTTTAAATTAAAATGGCTGGAGAGATGGCTCAGTTCTTAAAAGCATGTACTGCTCTTGCAGGGGACCCAAGTTTGATTCCCAGTACCACATTAGGTAATTCCCAGCTGCTTGTAACTCTAGCTCCTGGAGATCTGACACTCTTCTCTGGCCTTCAAGAGCACTTGCACTCATGTACACACATGCCTGCAGAGGTACATGAACATTATCATAATTAAAAAAAAAATGACTCTTTAAATTAAAATAAGTCTTCCTTTTTTCAGGATTTGTTTATTGAAAGTTAAACAATACATTTGGTCACTTAGCATTGCAATAGTTACTTGAAAGATGAAGGTAATAAGGTATTTCAGTAATAAAATCTTTTAAATGTATGAATAGTATAATAATTAAATAACCTATATTTGGTAATTTTAGAAAAGGATATTAAAAATTGTTATTTATAAAATTGGTCATGACTAAGTATGGTGAAACATAGCTGTTATCAGCCTTTGGGAGGCAGAGGCAGGAGGATTGCAGATTTGAGTCTAGCTTGGGCTCGACTCAAAAAATAAAAACAGAAGAAAAGGAAAAGGGGAGATAGGGTGTACTTCTGTAGCATGTTCTCCTGTGCATGCTCAGAAGACCATCCCTAAGACTTGTAACTGATGACAAAGAACCCTTCATGGTTAGCATGGCACTGTTCCTATAGCCTGGATAAAGCAGTAGCTTTTCATTTATCTGTCTTTGCTAAGTTTCTGAAAGTTGGTGTAATCACAGACACATTTTTTGTTTGTGTGCAGATCCTCATTGAATTTTGTGCAGGGGGAGCAGTAGATGCTGTGATGCTTGGTAAGTACCTCTGTTCTTATGTTTGCTTCTTAAATTGTTCTCACATAGAAAGACTTCAATCATGTGTGTACATATATGTAATTTTAGAGTTTAGTACATTAAGAAAATCAGCTTAATTATATTTTAGACAAGTATAATTCTGAAATGTAATGTTGAATATTCTATGTCAAGAAATTAATCTTTGTAGAAACTTAGCTCTTTTACAATAAATGATATTTGACAAGATCACAGGGGTAGTACTGAAAATATTTAGTTAGCTTTATGTTTTCATTGAATAGAAATATATACATGTATTTTTTTCACTTTCTCCTTGTAGAACTTGAGAGACCATTAACTGAGTCCCAAATCCAAGTAGTTTGCAAGCAGACTTTAGAGGCGCTGAGTTACTTACATGACAATAAAATCATCCACAGAGATCTGAAAGCTGGCAATATTCTTTTTACCTTAGATGGAGACATTAAATTGGGTAAGTTATTCAAAAGTTTGAATGTGTGCTTGGAGATTTATTCTGGAATGTAGTGACTTGCTGCTGTTCTGGCCTACCCAGACATGTAAAACAGGGAGAATTACTCCCAGCTGCTCTTGTAAACACTTCAGTGGTTAAACATTCCCCAGTTCTTAGGATTCCTAAGTACATGCACCTAATGACACATAAAGGAAGTAAAAGATGGTGAGTTTTTATTTTCAGAAGCAGAGACTTGCAAAACACTAGTTAGAATTTTTCCTGTAAATTTTTGAATATAGATTTAACACTTGTAAATGTTCTGTATTTGAGTATAATATAATTCTAAGCTCTATTTTTATTAAAACATATTGAATAGATTTTTTTGGTTGTTGTTCCACCCAGAGCCTTGCACTTTGTAAGCGAGTGCTCTGTCACTGCACTAACCCCCACCCCCAGTTTCTTACTCTATTTTCTGACATACTTATTAAACCATCAAGTAACCTTAGGTTTCAAAGTAAAACAAGTTTAAGGACTAGCATTTAATTTGGTCTTTGATACCAAAGGAATAAATGATGGATGTCATAAAAAGAATTAGATGGAGATTTTAGACTGAAGTTAGTTAAGTTCACACAGACACATAAGTAGAAGATAACTTTTCAGAAGGATTTCTAAAAGAGACAATTGAAAAAGAGACTAGTTGAACAGTGCTGTCTAAATTCATGTTTTTTGAAAAGTAAAATTATTCAAAAGCCATGTTGATTCCAGTGATTCTCACTATCCTATTTTACATTGTCTCAACATGTAATGGGACATCAAAATGAAATATGCTGAATTTTATCCTTATTGTACCATAAAGAGATATGGAAATCCACAAGAAAAGCCACATAAGTTTTTAGACACAAGCTTTGAAATCAGTGCTTAAGTGAAGAAATTGGACTTAGCCAGGCACCTTCCACAAGTCCTTTCACACGCCCAGCTGATTTCAGTCCCCATCCTTCCCCTTCCCATACTTTGTGTTGACTTTATCATCACTCATTGTGTTTCTTTATGGCTCAGTTATCCTATATTTATCTCTAATGTTTAAACTTGCTCATATATAAATTTTGATTTTTCTTTGGTATCTCTATAAATTACACACTTCTTCTCTATTCCTTTCTTTACACGGCAGCATGCATTCTCATTGAAGTAACATTGTCCAACCAAGAGAGCAGTATTTGATTGTTTGGAGGCCAAAAAAAAAAAAAAAATCATAATGATTTGTGACCTCTCCAAAGTCCACAGCATACAAACAGATACACAGTGTATATGTGGTATTAAAATTCCCAGTGAGTGGGACGATTAGCAAAATGTTCCTAAAAAGACTCCTTGAGGAGGTAGGAATGAAAGGCAGAACATTGACTCTGACCACTAGACTTGCACTTGCTGATCACGTGGTCATGAGATTTCAGTTTCTTTCTGTGTTTCCTTCAGTTAGTGGATGAAGCAAAGGCTTGGTAATGCTTGGTGGGTCTCAGGTGTGACGCCTTCATAAGACCAAGTGGTTGTGCATTGTTCTATTGACAGAGTGCAAGGCCTGCCTTCTACTTTGGTTATGGTTCTTCTTTTCCACCACTGGGTATTGAGTCAGGGCCTCACATGTGCCAGGAAAGCACTCTACCAAGACCAGCATCCCAAGCTTATTTTTGAAATCCACATTTCTTCTTTGATTGAGGCTGCAAAATGAATTATACCATTTTTTTCATTTGTTATTTTTGATAACTTTATAATCAATTAATTCTTTTCATTTATTACTATAAATTAAAAACAATTTTATAAGAAGAGATTCTCTTTAGTTTTTAGTTTTAGTTTTAGATTTGTTTATTTGGGACAAAAGCAAAAGAAAATATTTTATTTAGTTTTTAAGATAATTAGTTGGTTCTGAGTTCTAAGCTAAAATGGTCGGCTTACCCACTGATAAAGTTACAGTGCCGATGTTCTTTATAACGTAAATCAGAAGCCATAAAGCTTCCCATTTTTTCTTTGTAATGTAGTTAAGATTTTTATTTATTTTTTTAGTTAATCTCACTATACAGCCTAGAGTACCTTAGAACTCCTGAGTTTCCTGACTTAGCCTCCCATGTATTGGGATTATAGGTGTACACCACGATGCTCAGCTTTTGTAGTGTAATTTTATGAGGACACTGAGGAGATAGAATACTGTCATAAAGACTACTTTGCTGTAATTTTTTTTTCATACTATAGGAAAATATCTCCATTGATTTAATTGCAGCATACAACATTTGGCATTTTTTTTGAAGTGTATATACTGGTTTAATTTAAAGTGAACAATTTTTTTTGTTTTCAATTCTGAGGAATTTGTCATTATTACTATCATTTGAAGATGTATATAGATGGTGGTCAGTGTATTTGTGATGAAAAATTTGGCAGTTTCTTTTAAGAGGTGGCAGAGGATGATGGTGAGGATAACGTGGTAGAGGCTGGAGGGGGGCTCAGTGGGTGAAGCGCCTGCTGTGTTCATGGGGCCCTGGGTTTGGATCCCAAAAATCCCTGTAAAAGCTGGGCCATGACGGACGCTTGTAACCCTAGTGCTGGGTTGCTGGAAACAGGAGGAATCCTAGTGCACCCTAACCAGCTAGTCTTGCCAACATGGTAAGCTCCAACTTCACTAAGAAGTAATGTCTCAAAAGGTTAAGAGTGGTAGAGGAAGGCACCTGACATTGACCTCTGAACTCCATGAGCATGTATGCACACACCCTTTTGAACTCCATGAACACATGTATGCACTACATGGTACCCACAAAAATTTAAAAAATAATTAGAATGGCAGAGAAACCATTTCTCTTTCTGTTGTGTTTACCGTTTAGTAAGGTAGGCTTTAATAAATACTTAAAATGCTCCACTCTTCCATTTCATTAAATACAATTTACCATACTTAAAAGCTGTCATTAATGTTATTGTGTGATTATTTATTTCAAGCGGATTTTGGAGTATCAGCTAAAAACACCAGGACAATTCAAAGGAGGGATTCCTTTATTGGCACACCGTATTGGTAGGTATTCATTTTTATGCAGTTATTATTTTGTCCACATATAGTCATTGTACCGACTATAGTTTGTAATAACTGTTAATTAAACATCTCAACTTTTTATTTTTCTGTCTATGTTCATAGGATGGCTCCTGAAGTAGTCATGTGTGAGACATCAAAGGACAGGCCTTATGACTATAAAGCTGACGTTTGGTCCCTGGGTATTACTTTAATAGAAATGGCTGAGATAGAGCCACCTCACCATGAGTTAAATCCAATGCGAGTGTTGCTAAAAATAGCGAAATCTGAGCCCCCAACATTAGCACAGCCGTCAAAATGGTAAGCTCTTTTAAACAAAGTTTTTAAAGAACCAAAACTTGATGTTCTGTTCTTTTAGTTTGTTCAGGGTAAGTTTAAGTTTGGGAAAATGGCACAGAGACTATGAATGAGGAGACTGAGGTGGGTCAATTTCCAAGACTTAAGGACCTGGGAGAGTGGCTTGGTGATTAAGAGCACTGGCACCTCTGCTCCTTATAGAGGACCTGGGTTCAGTTACCAGCACCCACATGATGACTCACGTACTCTAGGTCCCAGGGGATCTGATCCCCTCTTCTGGCCTCTGTGGGTACTAGGAACACACTTGGTATATGAATGCAGGTGTTCATATCTGTACATAAAGTACAAATACCTGAGAAAGACTTAAGGATCATGGAAACCATTGTAAATCATTTCTCCTGTGTTAGACAGTGTGAATGAACTGGGTCTGTGTGGACAAGACATTTTCTGTACTGTATATTGATGTGTGTTTGTGGAACTTAGGGTAACAGTTTTTGTAACATTTTGATAACTTGTAAGGCTATGGCTGCCTCTCAGTGATTACCTGCTGTGGAATAACCCTTCTGTATGTACACTGTGTGAATGTATGTTTCAGTTATTGGTTTAATAAACAAGCCAACTGGCCAGTAGCTAAACAGGATAAATTTAGGTGGGAAAGCCAAACTGAGAATGATGGGATGAGGAAGGGTGGAGTCAGAGGAGTTACCAGCCTGACAGAGAATGAGTCTGATACACAAAATAGGGTAGTCATAAAAGCCATCCATGAGCCTTGGGGCAGCACATAGGTTAATAGAAATGAGTTAAGTTGTAAGAGCTAGTTAGTAACAAGCTTGAGCTATTGGCTGAGCATTTAAAATTTCTATTAAGTCTCTGAATCAGTTATTTGGGAAGCTGCTGTTGGTTATTTGGGAACAGGCAGTCGGGACAGGAAAACTCCACCTACAATCACCTGTGTGCCTTATTACATGTATGTCTAGTATTTACAGAATACATTTAATAACATTTTATTCTCATCAGTTCTCTTGTCATTATACTAAGTCAGTATTAATCTATACTAAACATAATTTAGTAAGGAATCTAGTTTTTTTTTTTTTTTAATAACAAGAAAGTAAAAATGCCATTGTTGACATTTTATTCTGCAGGTCTTCAAATTTTAAGGACTTTCTAAAGAAATGCTTGGAAAAGAATGTGGATGCACGGTGGACTACATCTCAGCTATTACAGGTAAGATGAGGCTAGCATGACATCACCAAGGTCAGAGTGTTTTAACATTGTCTCTAAAGAACACCTCTGCATGTACATGTGCACTGTACATGCGTGAGCACCACACAACACGCATGCGCACACACAAATTATGTAAGGTGGTTAGATAAATTTGATTTTACTTTAAAGCAGGGTCTGTTCCTTATATTTGAAATAAATATGTGTGTCAAATAGTATTATAGATAAACAAAATAACAAACCTTAGGGCAGTTGCTGAAAGGATGTGTGTGTGTAATGCCAGTATGGTACTGTTTTAGGCTGACCTGTTTATCTGAGGAGAGGGTGTGGGAAAATTGCCTTGCTGTGTTCAACAAGTATATCTCTATGTCCCTACAGCACACTTCCCAGAATTTCCTTGCTCCTGTAGTTGAAGATCTTAGCCTATAACAGACTGTGTTAGTCAGGGTTCTCTAGAGAAATAGAATCGATAGAATTAATCTCTATAGATGCAAACAGGTTTCATTAAATGGCTTACAGGTTATGGTCTGACTGTTCCAGCAATGGCTGGCTCCCGATGGAAAGTCTAAGAATCAAGTAGTTGTTCAGTCCACGAGACTGGATGCCTCAGCTGGTCTTCAGTATGTGCTAGAATCCCTCCAAAGGCTCTAATGCTAGTGAAGGAATGGACTTGCCAGCGAGAGTGAGGGAAACAGGCAAAGTGCAAAAGCTTCCTTCTTCCATGTCCTTTATATAGGCCGCCAGCAGAAGGTGTGGCCCAGATTAAGGTGGGTCTTCCCACCTCAGAAGATCTGGATTTAGGGTAGGTCTTCCCATTTCAAATGATTCAGTTGAGAAAAATTCCTCCCAAGTATACCCAGCAGCTTGGATTTTAGTTAATTCAGATGTGGTCAAGTTGACAACCAAGAATAGCCATCACAGACACTGTTAAGAGTTGAGAGCACAAAGATGAGTGAAATGTCTTTTACTCAAAGTTAGGATCAGTTAAAAAAGCAAAACGGGGATTTGTAGATACTTTTTAATAAAGGGCTTTGTAAAGTTTTATTAATACATCGATGAGATTTATCGTAGATACTAATGTAAAAACATGGTGTGTGCGTGTGCTTACTTTCCATGCTACAGTGTGTGTACGGTGGTCAGGGATGGTGACTTTCAGGAGTTGGTTCTCTCCTTCCACTCTGTGGGTGCTGACTGAACTCAGGTCCTTACTTTGGCAAAAGCACCTTTACCCACAGAGCCATCTCATTGTCCTCTTTTAGTTACTTGAAGAGAAGTGATACCTAAACTTAGAACGTACTTTAAATTTTAATTTAAAAATTATCTATGAAGTTTTTAAACATACAGAAAAACCAAATGTAACTTCTACTCAGTTACAAGTTGTTTTCATTTTTGACAAATTCCTTCACATCACCAAATGAAACAAAACGCAGGGGCTGCAAGCTGGCTCAGTCCAGGTCCCTGCAACTGAGCCTGGCAAACTGAGTTAATCTCTGAGATGGATCCACCTAGTGGAGAAAACACTGACTCCTGAAGTCTGACCGCCACATGCACACATGCAGACACTCAATTAGCAATAGTGTTTGTTATTAAAAAATAAAAACTAAAGTGTACACAATAAAATCCAGTTCAGACAGTCTTTACTTTTGTTCACTCTTCTCCCTCTTTTTCTTTCTAGGTATAGTGTTTGAAGTTGTGTACATTTTTCATATCCATAATTCATATTTTTCACACAGAGGATCTATTTATATATTGAGATTTATAAGCATTTCAGTTGTCATTGAATATACTTTTTTTTTTTTTTTAATGATTAACAGCATCCCTTTGTTACTGTTGATTCCAACAAACCAGTCCGAGAATTGATTGCTGAGGCAAAGGCTGAAGTAACAGAAGAGGTTGAAGATGGCAAGGAGGAAGATGATGATGAGGAAGCAGAGAATGCTTTGGTCAGTGTCACTCAGGATGTTTCATTTGGTGGAGTTTTAGAGAGAGGTTTTGAGATGTGGTGCACGTGTGTCTGAGGGGTAACAAATGAGGGCAGTACAAACCCTTCAATTTTAGAAGTGAAGTTGGTTACAAAGTTTCTCTTGTCACCTATATTCATCATGTTTATTATTGAAGACTGTCACTTTTTAAGGTTATTTTTGTAACTTCAAGTTTTCTAGAATATAGCTATTAAATATTTCACATATGAGTATAGATGTATAAAGCTATTTGGATGACCATCTTGTGGTCATGTTTTAATACTAATGATGTATAAAATCTTTTTTAGCCAATACCTGCAAATAAACGTGCCTCCTCTGACCTCAGTATTGCCAGCTCTGAAGAAGATAAACTTTCTCAAAATGCTTGTATTTTGGAATCTGTATCAGAAAGAATAGAGAACAGTACTGCTGGGGATAAATTTAGCAACAAAGTTCTTAATGAAAAACCCATCACTAACGAATCTCCGAAGGCTATGAAAGGTGTTAATGAGCATACGGATGATTCTAACTTAGAAACCATGGCTGAACTCAATGACCGAACAGTAGGAATCTATGAGAATGGGAGACAGAAGAGACCTAAGCTGGAAGATCGAGCTGACACAGAAGACCAACCAACTGGGGCTGTTAATTCAGTCAGTGAAGGAAATGAGGGGAATATAGTAACTTTAGAAACGGACACTAACCATCTGAAACCAGAAGAAGACAGGAAGAAAGAAAACCAGGAGATACTTGAGAATAAACTTATCCAACCTGAAGAAATTAAAGATAGGCATATTCAAACAATGGACTCGGTGTCTCAAGAGACTGGAGAAACCGAGGCAGATTTTCAGGCAGTTGACAATGAAGTTGGGTTTACAAAAGAAGATGCCCAAGAGAAACTGGGAAAAGAGGACAAAACTCACCAAGTTGTAGTCAGTGAGGCAGGAACACATGAGGCACTAGATGCTGCGGAGAAGGCTCCTGAACACAGCAGCCAGGATGCACAGAGCGCTGATGGGAAGGAAGTAGTGGAAGGAACCTGGAAGTTAGAGAAGCTCACAGAGAGCCCTGAGGCTGGTGGTGCTGAGGAAGAACCTTCTGTTCAAGAAAGAGTTGAGAATGAAGAGCTAGGTCAACAGTCCCCAGCGTGTGACGGTGAGGGACCGTTAATCAGCACTTCAGAGACCACACAGGCAACCATTGAGGAGCCAGGGACAGATGAAGTGGAGCAGGTCAGTGAGGCCCATGGCATTGAGGAGACACAGAGACGTGCAGTGACTGGCGGTGCTGAGGAGCAGGCTCTAGGAAGTGAAGCTGAGGCTGCCGCCGCCACCACCACCGAGGGAGAGTTGGCGAGGGAGGAAACTGCACAGGGAGTGCCAGTTAAACCAGAGCCCCAAGCTCCTGCAGCCTCGCTGCCCAGCGAGCCTCGTCCTGTCCTAATACCCAGGATCAATATTAACTCGGAAAACACAGAGAGTAAAGGAGAAACGGGTGCTTTACCAAAAACTGAAACCATACCGCCACAGGAGCCTGAAAACGAAAAGGAAAATGACGCCGACTCAGGGACCGGGTCTACTGTGGAGAACAGCAGCAGTGACTTGAATTTGTCCATCTCTAGCTTCTTAAGCAAAACTAAAGACAGCGGGTCGATGTCTTTACAAGTAAGTGCGCCTGGGGCCCTATTTGCATTTTGCTTTGTCATTTTAGTAATTTCTAGTTCGTTGCTTTCTTAAAACACTATTAAATCTGTGTAATAATAACCCTATGAATTCTTTTGGGATCATAAGGCCTTCAAAAAGAACTGGAAAGAGATTCTGGAAATAATCTTTAAAGATTATTAAAGAATTTATTTAAAGAATATTATTTAAAGAATAATCAATAAAGATTATTTAAAGATTATTGTGCAGACTTGGGTATATAAACAGGACAGGGTAGTTTCTTGGTCTTATTTAATTTTCCTTGCACATATCTGAATGCAGGTTTAGCAAGTGTTACTGCTACCCCAAAGAACGAGAAACTGAAAGAATTGTCTCCTTTTAAAAAGCATTTTAAGGTGTGAATCATCCTTAGCCACTGTCACCTATAGATGTCCACCTTTGTTTCTCTATTCCTAGCCATTGGTACTGCCATGGTAAGCATCATGGGGAAAACAGGCCCCCAAATACCGCCTTGCACTTGGAGCCGTTAGAGCATAATTCTCAAGTCTTGTGTACTTAGGAGGCACATGGCAGTTATGTAGAAGCTTACAAGGCTCCTGTGGGTCAGTGTAAGATAGTATTTTTTTAAATTACATTTTATTTATTACTTTGAATGTTTGTGTGTGGGGACACGTGTGCCATAGCAAGCATTGGGAAGTTAGAGGGAGTCAGTTCCCTCCTTCCACCGTAAGTACTTCTGTGAGAACTAAGGGAATATTAATTGTAGATACCTTATTGTAGAAGCTGAAGAAATTTGTGAAGTTTGTAGGTTAAGAAAGGTATATTTATTTATTTATTTTATTTTATTTTTTTCAAGACAGGGTTTCTCTGTGTAGCTTTGCGCCTTTCCTGGAACTCACTCTGTAGTCCAGGCTGGCCTCGAACTCACAGAGGTCCACCTGGCTCTGCCTCCCGAGTGCTGGGATTAAAGGCGTGCGCCACCGCCGCCCGGCTATTTATTTTTTTAAAAGCACATCAGCGTTAAATTTTAGAGGGATGCTGAGGAGGCTGCCATAGTCCTGATTTGGAGGGGAACATGAGGACCCTGAGAGGTTGCTCACAGGTGCCAGGGGCAAACTTGAATTCTAACATATTTTTAATTTAGTGCCTTTTCTTCCAGTTTTCTCTGCTCCTTTTCTCTCTCTCCCCTCTGTTCCCTTCCCTTTCATCCTCCCCTTCTTCTTTCACACTTTCTGGTTCGTTCATTCCCTCCCTTCATTACTCTCCAGAGTCTTGCTGGGGAGCTCCCAACCTCGCGTCAAACTCCTGCGTGCTGGGCTCCCTTGACTTTCTGTACCCCCATTCCCTCCCCCAGTAAACCAAATAATTGTCTTTTTATTTAATATGTTTACCTACACCAGTGAAAGATGAAAAGTTTAATATGTAAAAAGTCATCCTATTTATTCATTTATATGGAATTTTTATTACTGCTATACCTATTATGTAGTGTCATAAAAGTTGTGTATGCACTGGCCAGAATGCATAATTTCATGTAAAGTTTTTTTTTTTATCTGTAAAGTTCAGTGTGAGTTCTCAGCTTAAGTATGATGTAATCATTGCACAGATGACTCCTACTGCTTTATGTGTGCAGTATTCATGGCTGTCTAGGCATTTTTATTTTTAAAGAAGAAAATATCTTCCACATACAGTATTTATACAAAACCTAACCTGAATGAAATCTCACTCAGGAGACAAGAAGACAGAAGAAAACATTGAAGAAAACACGCAAATTTATTGTTGATGGTGTAGAAGTGAGTGTAACAACGTCAAAGATAGTTACAGATAGTGACTCCAAAACTGAGGAATTGCGGTTTCTCAGGTGAGTAGAGGAACAATATATAATTGTTGCTAGAGTTTTTCTGCCTGGCCCACAGTCAGGGCAAATCTCTCTCACCCGCCAGTCCCAAGCCGCTCAAACCCGATCAAGTAAACACAGAGACTTATATTGGTTACAAACTGTATGGCCGTGGCAGGCTTCTTGCTAACTGTTCTTATAGCTTAAATTAATCCATTTCTATTAATCTATACCTTGCCACGTGGCTTGTGGCTTACCGGTACTTTACATCTTCCTTGTCCTGATGGCGGCTGGCAGTGTCTCTCCTCCCAGCTTCCTGTTCTCTCAGTTTTCCTCTCGGTTAGTCCCGCCTATACTTCCTGCCTGGCCACTGCCAATCAGTGATTTATTCATTGACCAATCAGCAACATATTTGACATACAGACCATCCCACAGCACCTCCCCTTTTCTTTTCTTAAAAAGGAAGGTTTTAACCTTTACACATCTCCAAAGTCAGCTTGGTATATTTGGGAATTTGGGCGTAGCTTCTCTTACTACTTCCTGCTGGAGGGGGGCGCTGTAGCTTATGGGGAAACAAAGAAAATTTTAGGATCATGGAGTAGTCCGTGAGGCTGTATCATCTGAGCCAGTTGCCTTGAAACGGTTCTGGATGTTGGATCATCTGGGCCATGGTGTCATCGGAGACCTTTCAGGGGGTCTTGGCTGGTCAAACCTGATGTATCTTACTCTGGAACAAATCCATAGCCTCTGGCTTTCTGTGGAAACAAAAGAGACTCTTTTCCAAAGCAACATATCCTTACATCCAAATTTTGAAGTCAAAGTATCTTTAAAATATACGTACTGGTTTAACTCAGCTTCCTTTACAATCAAACATCTCTCTGTAGTTAAGAATCCCAAAGACAACACAATCCAGACTCTCTGTGTAATAGTCATCTCTACGTGGCTTATTTTTTATATTAATTTTACTGTCTCTTTAAAGACTTTATTTTTTAAAACTATGTATTTGTTTCTATACTGTATATATCACCTTTTTTTTGTCTCTTTTAAGCCTACGTATATTTTACACACATTTTAAACTATTACATCTGAATCTGTCTTATTGTGAATCTGTTGCTTTAAGCTGCAGTAGCTGTGGCTGCTGGCTCTGCCCACCTCAGCTTCCCAACATGGCGGCGGCGGTACTGTAGTTTTCCGCCAGCTCTGGGAGCTATCGTGGGTCTATGATTTTATCCAAGCAGCATGTAGCCCAGAAACCTTTTTTTTTGTTTTGTACTAGCAAAGGCTAAATCCACAATGCAGCTTAATGTGCCACTTGCAGAGGCCTCATTCCCGCCATATGGTGGCAGGTCGAGCGCACACGCTAGGAACCCGCCAGTAGCTCAAACCGGCAGCTGCCGCTCATTTGAGACAGACAATTAGGAAGCTGTTTTTAGCTCCGTTTTAGAATCTTTTTTCTCAGGTTTTAGGTGGAAACTCTTGCCACCACGTTGGACGCCATTTGTTGCTAGAGTTTTTCTGCCTGGCCCACAGTCAGGGCAAATCTCTCTCACCCGCCAGTCCCACAACCACTCAAACCCTATCAAGTAAACACAGAGACTTATATTGGTTACAAACTGTATGGCCGTGGCAGGCTTCTTGCTAACTGTTCTTACAGCTTAAATTAATCCATTTCTATTAATCTATACCTTGCCACGTGGCTTGTGGCTTACCGGTACTTTACATCTTCCTTGTCCTGATGGCGGCTGGCAGTGTCTCTCCTCCCAGCTTCCTGTTCTCTCAATTTTCCTCTCTGTTAGTCCCGCCTATACTTCCTGCCTGGCCACTGCCAATCAGTGATTTATTCATTGACCAATCAGCAACATATTTGACATACAGACCATCCCACAGCATATAATGAGTATATATAACAATATATAATACAGCATGAGTTTAAACCTCTTTTCTGTTTCTGAAAACTATGTAGAATAGAGAAACAACAGTAAATTCTTGGTTAATTTTGGATTATTTGAAAAATTATTTTTAAAGCTTAAAATCTTACAGTTAAAGCTTTTATTTAAAAGAATAGGTGGGATACCTTGCTCAGCCTTGATTGAGAGGGGAGGGGCTTGGTCCTGTCTCAACTTGATAGGCCAGGCTTTGTTGACTTCTCATGGGAGGCCTTACTCTCTCTGAGGAGTGGATGAGGAGTATAGTGTGGGGGAGCAGGAGGAGGGGAGGGGGGGGGAACTGTGATTGGTATGTAAAAAAAAAAAAAAAGGATTACTGTAGATGGAAGTTTTCCTGTGTCCCACAGCCTCTCGGTCCCAAATAAACACTCAGAGACTTAATATTTTAATTACAGACTCTTTGGTCTATGGCTCAGGCTTATTGCTAGCTAGCTATTGCATCTTAAATTAACCCATTTCTATTTATCTATATTTTGCCTCGTGGCCATGACATTCCCAGTCTGCTGACATCTTGCTCCTTGGGCTGCTGGATGGCGTCTGCCCTGACTCCACCTTTCTTCTCCCTGTCTCTCTACTTGGATGTCCTACCTGACTCTTATCCTGCCTTATCATAGGCCAAAGCAGCTTTATTTATTAACCAATAGTAGCAACACATATTCACTGCATACAGAAAGACTGTCCCAGAGCATATTACTTCAAAGTATAATTTGCTTCTTTCTGTTCTACTTTGTCAGGCGTCAGGAACTTCGAGAGCTGAGATTTCTTCAAAAAGAAGAACAGAGGGCCCAGCAACAGCTCAATGGCAAACTGCAGCAGCAGCGAGAGCAGATTTTTAGGCGCTTTGAGCAAGAAATGATGGTGAAGTCTTCGATTTTGTGTTACTTTGTTAATAAATGAAATCTAGTGTTTTAAAAACAGTCTTAGAGTAGGCTATAGAATTTGCTCTCTGATGTTGAGATTTTTTTTCCTGGTTTTGTGGTGTATTACTCTAGCCTCTGTTTCTGAGGTGTTTTGGATGCTTCTTAAAAAACAAAAACTTCGCCGGGTGGTGGTGGCGCACGCCTTTAATCCCAGCACTCGGGAGGCAGAGCCAGGCGGATCTCTGTGAGTTCGAGGCCAGTCTGGGCTACCAAGTGAGTTCCAGGAGAGGCGCAAAGCTACACAGAGAAACCCTGTCTCGAAAAACCAAAAAAAAAAAAAAAAAAAAAAACAAAAACTTCTTGAAAGGGATCTCCAGTCCCTGTCTTATTACCGGTTTTATAGTGTACCAAGTTTCATTTGAAATCTGTCATAGGCTGGTAGATTGTTTACCAAGTTTTTAGATATGTCTGTTACTGAATGCTGCTTCAGTGTTCCAGTTTTGTCTTTCAGTTTACAATATTAAGGGTTTTTTTTTTAATATTTTGAAATTAAAATATTATATAATTTTCCTTTTTCCCTTTCCTTCCTCCAAGTCCTCCCATGCACTCTTCTCTTCCTTTAAATTCATGGTCTCAGACTTTTTTCTTTAATTGCTGATTTGCATGTATATTCCTAAATATATAAATGCAGCATATTCTGTTCGTATAATGTTGCTTCTATGTATATGATTTCAGGTCTGACCACTTGGTATCACATAACCAATTGGAGGGCTTATTCCTGGGGAAGACTATTTTCCTACTCTCAGCATTCCTTAGTTTCCTGTAGTTCTTTGTCTAGGCTTGGAGCCCCATGAGATTCCCTCTTCCATGTTAGCATTTTCTATTGATGTTGTGGTCCTTCAGGAATTGTTTTGGCAACTATATGGTTGAGACTTTGTGGGTGTAGTTTTTCCAACATTTGTAGGAGACTCAGTCTTGCAGCAGATGTCCTGGTCCTCTGGCTCTTACCATCTTTCCGCCCCCCTCTTCCACAATGTTTCCGGAGCCTTAGGTGCAGCAGTTGTGTTGTAGATGACTCACTTGGGGCTGGGCACCACAGGATCACTTGTTCTCTGCATTGTAATTAGTGTCGTTTTTCTGTAATGGTCTCCATCTGTTGCAAAGAGATTTTTGTTTGTTTGTTGTTGTTGAGGGGTGAGAGCTACAGTTATCTGTAGGTATAAAGGTAAGTATTTAGAATGCAACCAGGAATTAATGCTGGGTTTGTAAAGTGGTGGTTGTAGTTCCTCTCCAAGTTCCATGACCATAGGTAGGTTGTCTAAGTTTCTAGTACCAGGCCTGATTTCTCTCTTGTTGAGTGAGTCTTAAGTCCAATTACAGAGTTGTTGTTTACCACCAAAATATGAGTGCTACTATGGTTATTATGCCATGCTGGTTCTTCATAGGTGTCATAGCTGGGTAGGACGAGGAGTAAGCTTGCTTGGAACCTTCTGGTACCATGAAAGCTAGTCCCTTGGGCAGAGGCTTTCAGGTTAGATCCAGCTTGGATTTTCTGGGTCTTGTGTATGAAGTGCATGGTGTCTTCAACAACAGGAACTTACCTTCAGCCTCTGGGAGGCAACCAAGGCAACAGCAATAACTTGCAGTGTGTGGGAGTCTCTTGAACTCCCCTGACCAACAGCTCATAAGGGGGCTTTTCATGCCTGGTATTGGGGTTTTTGCTAGATTGTCTGTGGCTTTTGGGGGGACCATTGTCAGCCCAGGTGGGAAAATTTCATTTAAACTATGTATGCATATGTATACACATAGACTTAGATGTATTATATGTGTAATTTTAGATAAATAGGTAATAATGATTTCTTGTGACTTTTTCAGACATCCTTACTGTTATGTCTTATCTTCCCTCTGCTGTTTTGACCTTCCTACCACCTCCCAACCCTCCCCCAGCCTCATTTTTCCCATTTTCCCTTCTAACTACCCTGCTGCTCTCCTCTCTATTGCACCTTTCCTTCTCCCATGGTCCCTTGCTACTTTCCTGGCTTCTGGATTACTCTAGATTATACACTCAGATCTGAAGATTTGAAGTTAAGAGCCACGATGAAAGAAAACATGGATTTGCTTTCTGCAACGACTGGGTTAACTCACTCAATATAATCTTTTCTATTTCCATCCATTTGCTTGCAAATTCCGTGATTTCACTTTTCTTTATAGCTGCATAGTATTCTATAGTGTGGATGGACCACATAGTGTTCTGTAGTGTGGATGGACCACATAGTGTTCTGTAGTGTGGATGGACCACATAGTGTTCTGTAGTGTGGATGGACCACATAGTGTTCTATAGTGTGGATGTAGTGTACATGGACCACATAGTGTTCTGTAGTGTGGATGGACCACGTAGTGTTCTGTAGTGTAGATGGACCACATAGTGTTCTGTAGTGTAGATGGACCACATAGTGTTCTGTAGTGTGGATGGACCACGTAGTGTTCTGTAGTGTGGATGGACCACATAGTGTTCTGTAGTGTGGATGGACCACATAGTATTCTGTAGTGTGTATGGACCACATAGTGTTCTGTAGTGTGGATGGACCACATAGTGTTCTGTAGTGTGGATGGACCACGTAGTGTTCTGTAGTGTGGATGGACCACATAGTATTCTGTAGTGTGTATGGACCACATTTTCACTATCCAGTTGTCAGTTGAAGGACATTGAGGATGGCTCCATTTCCCAGTTGTGAGTAGAGCAGCAATGAATGTGGCAGAGCAAGTGTCTGTGGGTAGGTCTGTCAAGTAGGTGGCAAGTATCTGTCAAGTCCTTTGGGCATATGCCAAGGAGTGGGGTAACTGAGTCCTGTGGAGATTTAGTGTAGCCTTTTGAGGATGCTCCACACTAATTTCCATAGTAGCTGCAGTAGTTTGCAATCCCACCCACAGTGAGTGAGGGTTTCTTTTTCCTCCAAATTTCTTCCAGCATTTATTGTCAGTTATTCCATTGGTCTTTTCTGTTCCGATTGGGGTACGATGAAATCTCAAGGTTGTTTTAAATTGCATTCTCTAATTGCTAGGGTTGATGAATATTTATTGAAATATTTCGGCTACTTTTTTTTTCTTCTTTTGAGAACTCTGTTTGGTCTTAGGCCCATATGTGAATGGGTTGTTTATTATCTTGACTCTTTGTTTTTTGAGTTCTTTATGGATCCTGTATATTAATCCTCTGTCAGAATTAGAGCTGGCAAGGATTCCCTCCCATTCTGTGGGCTTCCTCTTCAGCTGATTGATTGTCTCTTTAGCTGTTCAGAGGCTTTTTAGTTTTATGAAGTCCCACTTACAATTGTTGGTTTTAATTCGTGGGCAAATGGGGTCCTACACAGAAGGTCCTTTCTTACACTTTTATCTTGGAGAACACTGCCTAGGTTTTCTAGGTTCTGAAGTTTTTTTTTTTTTTTTTTTTTTTTTTTTAAGATTTATTTTATTTATTATGTATAAAGTATTCTGCCTGCATGTATGCCTGCAGGCCAGAAGAGGGCACCAGATCTCATTACAGATGGTTGTGAGCCACCATGTGGTTGCTGGGAATTGAACTCAGGACCTCTGGAAGAGCAGTAGGTGCTCTTAACCACTGAGCCATCTCTCCAGCCCTAGGTTCTGAAGTTTTAAGGCAATCTAAAGCAGTTGTTTTCAAGCCTGGCTGAGTTTTAGAACTTGTCGGCGACTTTTCACGATTCACTCTTTTCACTGGCTCTTACGTGAGCCTCCATGTCTACGTCACTGCTGTTGTAGAAAACAGTGCTGCGGTACTTGTTGCTGAGGCCTTCAGTTTTCACTGTGTCCACAGTTGGTAAGGGAATTTAGGAATGTGGTACAAAATTTCAGTTGAACATCTAGCTTAAAGTTTGTAGCTGGGCAGTGGTGGTGCACGCCTTTAATCCCAGCACTCGAGAAGCAGAGGCAGGTGGATCCCTCTGAGTTCGGGGCCAGCTGGGTCTATAGATTGAGTTCCTGGACAGGCTCCAAAAAAGCTACACAGAGAAACCCTGTCTTGAAAACACAAAAAACAAACAAACAAACAAAAAGTATGTTAGAAAAGATAATTTAAAATAATATTGAAGTTTAAATTATAATCCTTTGCAGTTTTGTAATGTGTTGAGAACTGTTGTGTGGCATTGCTGGTTTTATGTTCGGTCACCACAGCATGTTCCCAAGAAAATAATGAGAGATGTTCTCACTGAGTGCTTTTGCAGTCCTTTTATTCTGTTTTCCAGAATTTTAGAAATTGTGTTTTTTCTGTCCATAGATTTTTTTTTTCTGAAATGTTTTCCTTTTCAGTTTCTCTTGTTTTTGAGGGTTTGTTGTTGTTTTGAGACAGTGCCTCACTCTATAGTGTTACATTCCTGCCCCTCAGGTGCTAGAATTATAGGCATGCACTACTATGCCTGGCTTCACCTTACTTCTTTCTTTCCTTCCTTGCATACTTTATAATACGTATTTCTGTATTCAAAATTGCATAGTTGTGGGACATTTACCCACCACCCCCACCATTCCCCAGAGTTTTCTTGAGTGAGAGTAGTAGGAAATATTAGATAAAAGGATTTAGAGTGTGGAGATAAACAGATAGAAAATGCAGGATAGCCTCAAGAGGGCCTGGAACCTATTCCAACAAGCCCTGTCTCTGCCCTAGGGTATTGATAGAAATGCCTAGGGGTGGAGCAAAAGACCTTCTCCCAGCACAGCCAAGTGTAGGCCATCTCAGACATCTGCACTCAGGACCATGGTCCAATCATCCCCTCTATGCAGACTTGCTGGGTAAAGCCACTAGGAACCTGAAAACGGGCTCCCACACATAGTTGCTTGAATATTTGATGAATTAGTATGGTAACAGACTGCATTGTTTTACAGAGTAAGAAGCGACAATATGACCAAGAAATTGAGAATCTAGAGAAGCAGCAGAAACAGACAATTGAACGACTAGAACAAGAGCACACGAACCGCTTGCGAGATGAAGCCAAAAGAATCAAAGGCGAGCAAGAGAAGGAGCTGTCCAAGTTCCAGAACATGCTCAAAAACCGCAAGAAGGAGGTAATGCTGCTACAGTTGTGAGTTATCACAGCTGTTCTTTAAAATGCAAATTGAAGAGTATCTAAGGAGTTAGGAATAATAGCTGGTAACTGAATAGCATTCATTCATTCATTCCTTTGTTCTTTATTTCAGACAGTGATAGGCTGGCAGTTAGTGAGGTCAGACATTATCCTCGTTTTACTGCCAAGAAAACAGGAATAAAGGGGTGTCAGTGACCTGTCTCCCTTAACTTTGAGCCAAATCTTCAAATAAAGTCCAAACTGTTTTATTCTGCCATTCTCTCTTATTAATGGAATATTTAGGGCTTTATTTAGAAATGCTTTTTCAAGAGAATTTAACCTCATTGGTATTTACTGGTAGTAACAAGAATTATCATTTACAAAGTACTTGATGTTTGAATTTTATCTCCATTAGGTTTATTGATTTTCTTGGACATTTTGCCAAGCAGAAACTGAATAGCTTGATACTCAAAATAGCACAAGACATGTGATTATAAAAAGGTTTTGGTTTTTCTGAGTTGCTTCCATGTTGTTATAGAGCTGATTGTCATCAGCTTGTAAAGAGGCTTCCCATGTACTGTCCTTTTGTCCCTAGATTAAAATAAAATACATCCAAGCAATTTTCAGTGATAAGTTGATGGCTTGTTCTACATCTTCAGTGCAGGAGAAGGATTTACATTCTTAGGCTATGAATAAATAACCCCAGGGAAAATAATTATGATCAGTTCTATTAGGATTGGAAGAAAATATCTCAACCAAAGTAGGAACTGTATTTTCACTTTTGTTACACGTCTCAGTTACCAAGATTTTAGCATTTGACTCTAGCATTTAATTAGGAAGAAAACTGAACATGGTATTATTGAATCTTAAGGATGTGTTCGAGGAGGACTGGGCAGTGACAGCAAACACTTGATGCCTTCCTTAGGTCGCCTACTGGTGTGTGGCCTCATTCTCTGTAGCCACCGTTTCTACAAAGTGGTTTTGTTGTTGTTGTGTCTTATGTAGAGTTGCTTCATATACCGTGATAAAGATCTTCGTTAATCTTTAAAAAAATCTGGGTCATTTGTTGAGAGGCTAATCTTTGTATCAGATTAAATTAAAAGATTTAATTCCAGATGAATAAGTCTGTAGTTACTGTTTTGAATTTGGAGAGTTTTAACTAGTTATATTTGAGATCATGATGTGTTTATATTAAATAATCTTACTGTGTATTTTTTCCTCATTGCTAAACTTCTTGCATTTGGGGAGTCTCTTGCTTTTACTGGTGATTTGGTTTCTTGAGGAATTACTGATGGGAACTTTAAGGACACTGTTAAATCAAAATCAGTCTCTTTCTTGGGTGCCAGTGACATGTGGTGACTTGGAATCTGGGCTCTTTTGGTGCTTTTACTTGTAAACACATGCTTGTTTTTCAGATCTGGATTATAGATCTTTTGGTGGGTGAAAGTCACATTTAGGGTTTTGGTAAAAAAGAAAGAATTTAAAGATATACTTCATTTAAAAACATACTTTGGTGTAAGAAATCATAGTTTACTAAATTTGAAGAGTGTTTACATTACTGATTTTAAAGTTGACCAGTTTGACTTCAGTTTTCACCAAAGAGAATATATCCAATCCTTCAGAAAGTCATCAGCTGTATTCATTTTTGTCACACCATGTAAAAATGGCATGTTTTATGGAAAAAGTGTAGTCCAAGTATTTTTCCCTTGTCCATTTGAAGTCCCGCTTCTCTTCTTCCCTTCCTGCCCTGGTGTCATGGAGCGGCTCAGCTAGAGCTGTTTCTTTGTGTTGTCAGATCCGTTGTCAAGTTTCCACTTTATAAATGGAATTACTTTTCATGTGTTAGCGGACAGACAGTGTTGCTAGGTCTGTAATTTCTTTGTAATTTTTGATCTCTCAAGAAGGCAGTTGAATCTGTCACTTTTACCTCAGCCCTAGTGCTCTGAGACTCCTTCACTGATTGGTACGTGGGGATGATCAAGCAATGAGTGGACCTTTGCATGCCGGGTCGTCCTCTCTGCACTGAGATTAAGCATGTTCTATCTTTTTCTTTTCCACCAGCTAACGCTTATGCTAATGCATGTTGAAAGCAATCTTTTAACAACTGTAATTTTGACTTGTAGCTTTCTGCTCACATATATATGCATATGCTTTCCATGGAGACAGTATTACTTCCCCACCCCCTGCATGCTTATACACTGTAGGTTATAAATGAAGTGGAGCAAGCACCTAAAGAGCTGAGAAAAGAGCTCATGAAACGCACGAAAGAGGAGCTTGCACAAAGCCAGCACGCTCAGGTAACGGCAGCAGCTTAGTGCTACTAAAAACAGAAAGCAGCCTTTTCTCTTGGCTCAGGAAACCATGGTTGAAAGAGGCGATTTTAACTGTAATTATTATTCAACGTTGAACTTTTCCCCATCTATAGATACCCAGGATCTTTTTTTTTTTAAATAATGCTGAATTTATACTTGGTGACATTTAAATTGCTAATATGAAAATAATTGAAATGTTTAGAAAGTTGATTCCAGATAAAAGAAACAAATATGTTAATGTAATGGCTACTGTTACCTGATTTTATCATGATGGAAGCCTATGTTTTTAAGAAGTGGTGCCAGTGCTTGGTAGACAACCTTTAGGGCAGAGTTGGGGGTGGATATGTAAGTCTCTGCTTAGAAAAAGAATGCCTATTAGGAAACCATTTAGAATAAAAATGGTAAATTTTATCATTAAATGGTAGGTCATACATTTAATTACTTTTAAGATCAACAACATAGTCAACTTTAAAGACAAATTTTTAGTATATCATTTCCTTTTGATTTAGAATCCAACAGCTAAATGGGCAGAATAATGTTACGAGATGAATGAATTAACTAGATAAATGAAATTTTAACAGAATTTTCCAGTTACCCACAATGTATTATCCTTTTAATGTGGTTTTATGTAATAACAACAAAAAAAGTGATTCCTAAACTTTTAGACTTTACAGGACCCTAAAAAGAAGCACAGAAGTAACAAAAAATCTATTAGGGACCATGGCATATACCACCATTGAAGTGTGTGTGTGTACGCGCGGGGTGTGTGTGTGTGTGTGTGTGTGTGTGTGTGTGTGCGCGCGCGCGCGTGTTTCAGAGCTGATAACATTTTTATATTATAAAAAAGAAGGAAGCTGTGCTCTTAGAATTTATAATTTTTTTTTTTTTTTTTTTTTTTTTTTTTTTTTTTTTTTTTTTGGTTTTTCGAGACAGGGTTTCTCTGTGTAGCTTTGCGCCTTTCCTGGAACTCACTTGGTAGTCCAGGCTGGCCTCGAACTCACAGAGATCCGCCTGGCTCTGCCTCCCGAGTGCTGGGATTAAAGGCGTGCGCCACCACCGCCCGGCAGAATTTATAATTTTTAATAAAGGCAGTTGAGTTGAATAAAATTAGTATTTTTCTTGCCATAAGGCTCTGAGACATTTTGTCTTGTCCTGTGGGGATGTCTAGTTGAAGGATATGGTGACAGACATAGCATTTGCTGTGTGCCTAGCACTTATTCTGATGCTCCACGTATCTGAGCTCAGTCTCATAACGAGCATCATCCTGTCTTAGCAGTGAGGGAGCAAGCACAGAAAGGGAAATGACTCACCCAGTGATTCTGGTAAAACCAGGATTCTCCCCCCGAAAACTTGAGCTGCACGTGCATGGATTGCCAGCCAGCACACCATGCTGCCCTCTTGTCAAGGCTGCCCCCTCGGCCTGGTCTGGATGGCTCCTCATCTGGCTAGCGTTTATTGTGAACAAGTGAAAGAGAGACCTTGCCAACTACACATTTACTTTTGGTTAGTTTAGATTTCAAACGAAGTAATAAATAATAGCAATATAATTTTGCCTTAAAAGGACTGTAATGGATGTTTTTTAGTTCCTAAAGTATACCAAACTTAAGAGTTGAGAATAAGAATTTATTGTTAAATGAATTGAGTGATCTTGTACTCTAATTTTAGTTTATTTTTTTTTTTTGAAAAATGACTTTCCATGTAATTTGGGGGGTTGGCTTTTGTTTTCCCATGAAAGAAATAATGGTAAATTCTTCCTGTAAATTTAGTGGAGTTTAGAATGTAGCACTTCAAAAGTCTTTATACCTTTGATAAGTTTACTAAAATTTGGTAATTTTACAGTCTGTTTAGACTGTTTCCAGAGTTAAGTCATAGCTGTGTAGCCATGGAGCTGGTACATACTTGACACCTAGTCCCCAGGCTTTCAGATTGTTCCTAGGAGCCCTAATTCAAGGCAAGGGTTGTGGGGCTGAGGGTCTTGCTTCTGTGTGGAAAAGAGGGCGTTTTCTGTTCCTCCTTGTTCCACCCTTCCCCTCCCCTTTTTTTCTTCCCTCTCTTCTTCTCTCCTTCCCTTCCTTTGTTTCTTTCATATTCATTTATCTGTGTTTTGTTGGAGGGCAACATTTTTTGAGAGTCCTTTCTTCTTTCCACATGTGGGGCTTCAGCAGGTGCTGTACCCACTCAGGTCACCTTGCAGGCCTAAAAGCATCACTTTTCACCTGATTTATAAGCAGATCTATATATCTATCTGTCTATCTATCTATCTGTCTATCTATCTATCTATCTATCTATCTATCTATCTATCTATCTATCTATCTATCTATCTATCTATCTGGATGGACTTTTAAAAAGGAGTTCCACTGATTTAGAAATAAGTAACACATTGGAGTTTGGAAACCACTGACCTAGTTCTCACCTTTTATTGTGTAGATGGGAGATAAGCCCCTCTGTTAATTGATTTGACCTAGTCCTGAAGGTCAACATTTGTGCAATTATTCTTTCCATTTACACAAGTCATCCAGATGTCTGTTTTCTCACCTGGGAGGTGCATTGTATTCTGATCCGCAGGGTGTTGCTCAGGTCATGATTCAGTCTTTTCAGTTGTCAGCTTGTGCAGTGTTCAACGCCCAAATGCAGGACGTAAGTCCGCGTGCTGTGGGAGGTGCCTTCTGTTTTACTTGTGCTTTCTTTGACTCACATGTGCCTTTCATTATTAACTTCATTGGCTGAAATGTAGACTTTGGAGAGCTGATGCCAGTAATAACAGTAACAATAATCTGGCACAAACTTAGCATTAACAGTGTTCTTCAGAGTTTTCATATCTGGTTCTCACTGGCACCATCCCCATGTAGGGATGGAGTATATCCTTTCTCCAGATGTGGTACATGGGCACAGAAGACTAGTGATCTACTACAGACCAGTGGTCTCTATGGCATCAGCAGGAGAGCTGGAAGCAGAACACTTGCAGTGGAGGGCTCTATTTTTCTGCCTCTTCACCATGCATTCTAACTTGAAATTTTCATGATTTTTAAGAAAAGTAAAATATCTTCCTGGTAGAGTTTTGTAAACTTTGCACATGTGAGAAATTGAATGCTTTGATTAGATTTTTATCTTTGTGTGAAGTGACATTTTGATTTCGTACAATTTAGATGTCTTGATTATGGATATGGTCAGAAAAGCCATGGTAAAAGGAGTGATTTAATTTCCATTTAATTTGTCTCCATTTATTCAAATTGTCAATAATAAATATCGAAGTGTTGTTATTTTTACTGTAGTTTGAAATTATGTCTGGAATTCCAAACTGTATTCTTTCTCATAGTTCCCATAGGAAAGGCTAGCCAATATAACATGGTAATTTTTGTTTGTGATGTTTAGTATATACTGCTGGAGTAGATAGAATACAGCTTGATTTCAGCCATTTCTGTTTCCCTCATTTCCAAATTAGATTAAAAAAAGCAATTGGCAGATACTTTTTTTAAACATGAAATTATGATTTATAATCTCTTTTCTGATCATTACCATTTTTGAGTAAATCTGTTGAGTAAGTGATCAAATTTCATACAAATAGTCCAACTCATCATAACCTTTTCTGACAGTTGTCAGGACGCAAAGCTGTAGTTTTAGTACTTACAGTTAGTTAACTGATGAATTTCTTATAATTACTTATCAGAACTTGAACTTGTACTTTTAATGGTCACTGACTTCATAGTGTATGAGGCCATTTTTAGAAACGATATTTGGCTTTCTTAGTTTGGGTTCTTTTGTTGTTGTTTTTTGTGACTTCTACTGATAAGCTCATAGATATTTTTAAAGGCAGAATGTAATCCATGCAGACTTTTTAGAATGTGAAATTTCTCTTAGTTTCAATTCCTAAGAGCAATTTCTAGTTACAAATTCCACTGTGAATGTATTGTATTTGGCTTTTGAAATTGAGAAATTTAGTGAATGGGCAATAATATTAAAATTACATTCATTTGAAGAAAAGAAGTGTATTATTTGTGTATAAGGGTCTTTTTCAGGTAATTTTTAACTTTAATGTAAACTACTTGTGTGGTGCCCTCCATCTAGATTGCCATTTACACCCTGCCTGCCTGTTCAGCTGTGAGGCGTCCTGGCTCCGTGCCAGCTCCTGTCAGGAAGCACTCCCACACTGCTCTAGCACTGCCTGCCTTGACTCTGACTTGTTCATCCTCGGTTTGTCCTCTGGGCTGTTTTCATTGTTTTTAGTTGCACTGTACCTAGCCGTGCCTGGCATGTACTGAGTCGGCCTGTACCTAGCAGTGCCCAGCATGTCCTGAGTCGGCCTGTACCTAGCCGTGCCCGGCATGTCCTGAGTCGGCCTGTACCTAGCCGTGCCCGGCATGTCCTGAGTCGGCCTGTACCTAGCAGTGCCCGGCATGTACTGAGTACCTCAAGACACCTCGTGTAATCCAGATCTTAAGGACAGTGACATACACACAGATGGCACAGACAGAAATCACATGTACTTAGTGGCATAGCTTTTATTTACCTTTTTGTTTCACATATTTATTGGCTTGAGTTTATACTTTGATATTTGACTTCTGAGTCTAAATATAAAGTCTATATATGCTAGTTAAACTGTTCGAGCAGATATTTAAAAAAATCTAAGCTGCCACCCAATGATAAAATTGTTGACCCAGAGAAATTCCTCACTGCATCTCCAGGTTAAACATTCATTGAACAAGTTTACATGTAGACGCTTTGTATCAGAAGTTAAAAGGAATAATATTCTTATTACAAATATTTGTCGTAGGAAAAAGAGGAATGGAAGTCGCTTTTTTATTTGTTGTAACTGCTTAAGAGGTGGCGTGCAGATTTTGCATCTCTTGAACAAAACATAAAAGGCTTTATTTATTCTAGATGACTAAATAAATAGAAGGGGTTGTTTTGGTTTTTGTTTTGTTTTTTGTTTTTTTGAGACAGGGTTTCTCTGTGTAGCCCTGGCTGTCCTGGAACTCACTCTGTAGACCAGGCTGTCTCTAAACTTAAAGAGATCTGCCTGCCTCTGCCTCCTGAGTGCTGGGACTAAAGGTGCATGCCACCACTTCATGACACTAGTTGTATTTTATAGAGACATTTCACTAGTCTGTCTTTCTGCTACTGTGTATTTGGATTTATAGTAAAACATACATGAATATGCAGATGAAATGGTGGTACCATTTGCAACTCCACATTACTCCCTCACAACAGCCTGAAGGACCAACTCCAGAGGCACTGCCATAGGCCAACTCTTGGAGGAGATTTGCCAGACTGTGTGCATTAAGGACCAGGCTGGTAGTGATCCAGATCTTGTCTGACTCTGTCCAAGTCCCAAAGAACAGTTCTGAAATAGAGCTGGGACTTGATTATTTCCTAGATGCAGAAGAGAAAAGGACTCTTTCTAGATAAGTATTGTTTCAGCCCTAAAATATAAACCTCCGTTTTTTTATTTGTGTATCCTTTGAACTAAACACTATCTTCTGTTACTGCCAAAAGGGGATAGAGCTCCAGACTTGCTTTTTTTTTTTTTTTTTTTTAGGTTTTTCGAGACAGGGTTTCTCTGTGCAGCTTTGCGCCTTTCCTGGATCTCGCTCTGTAGACCAGGCTGGCCTCGAACTCACAAAGATCCTCCTGCCTCTGCCTCCCAAGTGCTGGGATTAAAGGCGTGCGCCACCACCGCCCGGCCAGACTTGCCTTTTTTAAAGCACACATTTGGCAAATGTTAGGCGTCCAACAAATATTTATTAAGTAAGTTAGAGAGTCTCAAATGTGTCTTCAAACTGTTGTTCTTTTAGGCACAGGTTGTAGAGGAAAAGCACTGTCCTCCACTGTTAGTTCAGGCGAGGTCCTTCTACTTCAGTCTGTTTCCTAGAAAAATAGTGTTAAACTGTTCCCCTCTCTCTCTCTCTCTAGTTGCCTCTAGCCTTAAAAGGAATTTCTTATTTACTTTTGTTCTAGTTAAACCATAGTGGAGCAGACATTCTGCTTCAGAAGTTGTAATTTTGTTATTTTCCCAAAACTGTAAATGAAATAGAACATTTTAATTATGAATGGATATATACTTATGTGTATCATTCTTAATAGTGAATTTAGAATGTTGTACATTCTAATACTTTTCTAGATTTGAGTTGAGTGACCAATACATTTGTGCTGTATCTGTACAATATAATTTTAGTGATTTTTTAAAAAATTCCACCAGCTTTGTAAGCCTCACTTAGAAATCTTCTTAAGTACCAGGGATGCAGTTCAGTGCTAGAGTACTTGCCTTCCATGCACAAGACCTTGGGTCAGTCTCCATCACTTTCCCCTACAGAGAGGAAGAAAGAACTTCACTAACCACTAATACATAGGCACTAGATAACTGAATGTTCAATTCAGTAGATATGTATTAACAGATGGTTAACTGTGTCTATTAGGAACAAGAATTTGTTCAGAAGCAACAACAAGAATTAGATGGCTCTCTGAAAAAGATCATCCAACAACAGAAGGCAGAGTTGGCCAATATCGAGAGAGAGTGCTTGAATAACAAGCAGCAGCTCATGAGAGGTATGTGAGAGGCCACAGTGTGTGCTCACACAACAAAAAATACCACAAATACCTCAGAAACATTGCCTTGAGGTGTTCATTGCGGAGTACTGAGTGCTTTTTGCTAGGGTGGCAAGGGGAAAGATAAAGTTTGAATAAAAGCTTCTCTTTTTTAAAATTGAGAAATACTGTGAGATACAGTAGAAGTGTTTCTAAAAGTATACTTAAAACATGGACTAGGGATGTAGCTCAGTGGTAGAATATGTACTTAGTGTGTACATGGTACCCTGCATTTAAGGGCCTGGTTCAACTCTCAACACTTCAAAAATAACCCCCCCCCAAAAAAACCCCCAAATAACCCAACTTAAGACATATTTTATCTATCTGAATAATTTTATATACTCATTATGCCTTATAATTACCAATGTAAGTATATCATATATAGTTATACAATAAGAAGATGGTAGGATGGAATTTTAAGTCCTTATTCTCCCCAACAGACTAGTTTAGTTCTTTTCTTTCTTTTTAAGGTGAGGTTTTGGCATTCCTGGTAGGACATTCTTACTTTAGGACATTAAAACAAAATAAAAAGTGATAATAAATGCTATTTTACATTGGTAACATTTTATTTATACCTTGGAATATCTGTTTGTGTGTGTAAGTTAGTAGACATTAGTTAAAAGAACTAAGTGACACTTTGAAAACCACTTCCTTGTAGCTCGAGAAGCTGCGATTTGGGAGCTTGAAGAGCGACACTTACAAGAAAAGCACCAGCTGCTTAAGCAGCAACTCAAAGACCAGTACTTCATGCAGAGACACCAGCTGCTTAAACGCCACGAGAAGGTGAGCAAAAGGGAATGTCTTCACTTCTTTGTTCATTTTACTTTACAAAGTTACTCAGTTTTGTACTTTAATTTCTTAGAGAATAGATTCTTGGCTTTATTTCTTTTACCTTAATTTTTTTTTTTTTGAGTTTTGAGTACTTGTTTATAATCTTTATTTTGATTGCAAACTTTTTTTATCAATTACAGTGTTTTAAAGACCTTATAATAAATTGTCATTTCATCTTGTATCTTGCTGGTTCCAGTTGTGACTCAGTTATCTTAATAACGTGTCTTTCCTTGAACACTGCTGTCATCTAAGAACTTAACTTTTCTTATAAATTATTTTTGCCTAATATTTTGTTACTCATTATGCAGTTATGGAGAGGGTACCTATGGGAAACAGTAACAGATGCGTGGAACATGTCTGTGGGTGCTGAGAGTTAAGTTATAGCTACACCGTTCTTCTTAGGAAACAGAACAAATGCAGCGTTATAATCAACGACTTATTGAGGAATTGAAGAACAGACAGACTCAGGAACGAGCAAGACTACCCAAGATTCAGCGAAGTGAGGCCAAGACCCGAATGGCCATGTTTAAGAAGAGTCTGAGAATTAACTCAACAGCCACACCAGACCAGGACCGTGAAAAAATCAAACAGGTACTTAAACAGATGGTTCCTTTCCAGGTTTAACACCTTTGAATGACCTTTAAAAGTACCTCATAATTGGGACTAGACATTTAGTCTCTCCTTGGGATTGTTATTTTCAGTTTCTGGGATGGGGCAGGGTATGTTATATCCCAACTTAGTCTTCCCTATGTGGGACCATAGAGGGCAAAGCCATCTCTCCCTTGACAGATCTTAGACCATGGGAATGAGATAACTTGTCCACCCTGTGACACTTCTGCAGCAACAGACAGATCATCTTCTTCCACTGGAGATCAGTAAGCAATCGAAACATGGAGGCTTTAAACCAGAAGTCATTTCCTCTCCCTTTACCTAGATCTATAGGCTACAGGTTCGAGTATAGGATTACAGCTTTAATTTACTGTTTTTTAAGCTTTGTTAAATTCCCTAATTATACGTGTAGAGTATGTAGAGATTACACTGCTTCCTAATTCAATTATCTTTTGTTTTTCTTATAGTTTGCTGCACAAGAAGAAAAGAGGCAGAAAAATGAGAGGATGGCTCAGCATCAGAAACACGAGAGCCAGATGCGGGACCTCCAGTTGCAGTGTGAAGCCAATGTCCGAGAACTGCATCAGCTGCAGGTTAGGTCCAGGCCTGACGATGGGTGTGTGGTGGCCAGGCAGCTTGTGTGGCTTCTGTGGAGAAAATAAGAACTAATCAAAGTTTGCACATGTTGCTTATGAAAGGGCTAGAGCATTGAAAACGTGTGCTGCCTGCGTAGCCCCAAGGGAAGAGCTGTGCAGTGCCGTCGAGCCTTGTTTTTATTTCATATAACCAAGGTGAATGTAAGCATGGAGCTAAATTAATAAAAATCAATTAAAAAGTAGGGTTTTTTTAATTTAAAAGGATATGGCTGATTTCTTTCTGGTTTTGTGAAAATGGTAAACATTTGGAAAATTTTTCATAGGAAATTAGACTTTAGAGAGGACTATTTTTGGAATTCATATGGAATGCACAGTCCATCTAGTGAATGCATGAAATGCTTATACTTTCAGGGTAACAGGTAATTTTCATACTCTGTATGTTTGGTTAATTTACTGGAGTAGAATACTTACTAATTCCAAATCTTTTACCAACTGGAAAAGCAAAAGCCCAAAGTATTTCTACTTAAGTTCTTTTTTATATATGTTATGTTAACAGCTTTATATGATATTTAGTATTTTTTGCAAGAAGATATAAAAGTTTCAAAAACAGTGAAGGCATTTATACACTTATAAAACAGACTGTTCCACAACTCTTGGCACTTAGCTTTTAAAGGAGAATTTGAACTTCCATAACAGCATGGTATCTAGCCAATAATTTGTTGTTTTGAAAGAAAATTGTTTCTGTTAAAAATTGCTCCATTGACCTGAAAAAAACTTAATACTAACTTTATTTTCAGAATGAAAAATGCCACCTGTTGGTTGAACACGAGACTCAGAAACTGAAGGAGTTGGATGAGGAGCACAGCCAAGAGCTAAAGGAGTGGAGAGAGAGGCTGAGGCCGAGGAAGAAGGTAACTTAAAGCTGTGCTGCGGTGCTGGGTGTGGTCCATCCCTTCCTGGATACTGCAGAGGTGAAGGTCAGGATCTTGTGAGAAGTGATTACAGGTTGGGGAGGTCATTGTTGGGAGCAGGTTAGAACAGGATGCAGGGCAGCAGAGTATGTGCTCACAGGAGGAGGAGTGCTGAAATCTCTGAAGAGGCTGAAGAGGTAGAGGTCGGGTAGGGTGTGAAGCATGAATAATAACTTGCAGGCAGGTGGGTATATTGGAAAGGAATGGGACAAGCAGAGAAAATAGAATGAGCAAAAAATACTGCATGTGGAAAATGACAAATAGTTCCCCCTGCAGAGTAATACAGGGTGTGGGGCATAGGGAGGGGGACAGCCGAGTCTGCTGTTAGCCGAAGGCCTTGAATTAAATTTAAGATACAAAACTTAAGAATGGCTTATTTCCTCTTTCCTTCCATTTCCCTTGTTTGTAACTGGACTTCCCTGATGGCCTGAGTTCATTGGTTAACCATTGTATTTCCTGCTGTTACTATTGTTCACATCCCTTTGTTATTCCTTAAGACATAAACCTTTATTGTCTTTTGAGCTTCCTGCCTGGTGTGTATCTCAGTGATGATGGTACATGCCTGAAATCTGAGCACTTGGTAGGTGGAGGCAGGAGGATCAGAAGTTCAAGGTCATCCTCAGTTACATGATGAATTTGAGGTTAGCCTGGGCTACGTGAAACCCAGTCTCAAAAAGCAGATGGAAAAACAAGTTAAAAGTGGGTGATGTGTGTAAAGCAGTGTCTCAGTACTTGAGATCACAGGTGTGTTCATTAGTGCTGTTACTGTTACTATTTTGAATCAGGGTTTGCTTGTATCCTGGTGCTGGCTTCAAGCTTGCAATGTTCCTGCCTTAGGCTCCCAGGTACTGAGATTACAGGCATGCCCACTATACCCAGCTCATTGGCTTTGTTACTATCAGTTTGAACTTTTTACTCTCCTCCTCATTTCCTCTAGGCCTCCTCTTCTCCAGGGTCACTGTGTCTGTGAGGGCCTTGTTTCATCACTCGATTCCCATCTCAGTGTGCTGTATCCTGTCTTATTTGTTTGTTTTTCTTTATTATATCCTTCACCACCAGATATATTTCCTCTATTGTCTTATTCCATGAGAACATAAGCCCCTTAGAAGCAGGGAGTTTCTTTCTCTCTTTGTTCACCGACCTGTATCTTGCTGTTAGAGGAGTTCTTAGAATGTTCTGAATGACTAGTGCACGCCTGTTGAAGCTGATGGAGAAGGTCACCTCAGCAGACACTAGATTGAACTCAATATTCATCTCATCTTCCTTCCTCCAGGAGCCCCACCAATCTGACATGTGTCCCCCATCCTCTCTCTTAATTGACAGCCAGGTTAGACCTGGCTGACATAATCTGTGACACTCAGCATTCAACCAGATACTAATTGTGACTCATTTCTGGTATGTATTCTCTTTCCTGTTGCTGAGCTTGCTCATTTGTGTCCTGCTGGGCCTTCTGACCTTAGTTCCTTTCCTTATTCTTACTTGCCATCTGTTGTCAGTTATCTTCATGAACATCTGAAGGTGTCATAGAGGTGTTGGTCAATCTTCAGTTCCATCAAGCAGGACACAAAGCCTGCAGTTTGATTGGCAACCTTCACAGTGATGGACTCGGGCTGTAGCCTTGCTCACTGTCTCTCCCTCTAGCCACTTGGTTCTCCGTGTGGACAGAGTAACCATTCCTTCTACCGCCTCCCGTCTTCATGTGGCTGTCTCAGCTTCTCTTGTCTGGGATACCCTCTCTGTCCTGCCTGTCAGTTTCTGACACTGCTTCATGGCTAAGTGTATGTTTTACTTCCTCTGACAAACCTTCTTGTACTTTGTTTCAACCTAAACAAAGCACTTTTCTTTAAATGACTTGTCTGCAGTCACCAGTACCTGTCCATTCAGTTCACTGTAACAAAATATTATAAGATGGAGGCTTGAGAAGTCCATGTCCAGAGTTCTGGCATGGTCAGGTTCTGGTGAGGGAAGCCTTCTTCCGGAAAAGAACTCTGCTTGCCCCTTAAAAGAATAGTAATCCCATTTGGAGGGCTCTATTCTTGTGACTTAATCACCACTCAAAAGGTTAACCTCATGAAACCATCGGGGTTAGGTTTCAACAGATTCAGCTCTTTATCAAACACTTAGTATTCCTGCTGTGTATTGTGGGGATAGATGATGAATCTAGTTTAGATCTTAGTTTATATGGCTTGTGTTTCAGTGTAGAAGAAAGACGTGTATGTCACTGACACAAAAAGTAGGTGAAAGTTACTAATAGGTGTCACCTGCTGGGTGCTTACATTTAATGTTCACGTGGCATGCCAACAAGTTAAGTTAGTGTCCTTCTGCTGTAGCAGAGGACTAACTGAGCTGAGTCTTGAACCTGGGGCTGTGAAAAGTATGTAGTCTTAACTATTGAATAAAATGTTCGGGGCTAGGAGGTTTTGGTTTTTTTTTTTTTAAAGATTAAAAAGTTATGTGTATGCATGTATATCTGTGTGTGGGTGTGTGCATGTGGGTGAGGGTACCTATGGAGGCCAACAGATCCCCTGGAGCTGGAGTTACAGACAGTTGTGAGCCACTTGGTGCTAGGAACTGAGCTGGTCCTTACAGAGACATTGAGCCATCCCTCCAGACCCTGGACAGTGGTGTAATCTTGGCTGTAAGAGTAAATTCTATGTACAGTGTAAAACAGTGCATAACTGTTGTCTCTTTCTTCTTAAGACACTGGAAGAAGAGTTTGCCAGGAAACTGCAGGAGCAGGAAGTGTTTTTTAAAATGACTGGGGAGTCGGAATGTCTTAATCCATCAGCACAGAGCCGTATCTCCAAATTCTACCCTATTCCCACCTTGCATTCCACTGGGTCATAGCGATAGCAGCATTCTCTGTCTGGATTTGGCTTCTAAGTACATCATTGTATTCCTTCATCTTCCACAGTATGTATGACTCACAAAGACAATCACCTGTTTCATCTTCTCGGTGGTTCTGAAAATTTGTTTCTTGGATTTTATTGTTAACAGAGATGAAGGGCAAACGAACTAAGACAGATGCCAGGCCATGTTGGCGAGTAGCATCTTGCAGTAATTCCCTAAGGTGATTTTGTATATTGACCTTAAATATTGTATTCTTTAGACACTGTTACTGAAAAACTGCCAGAAAAATAATGTTTAAAAGGATTTGGAGGAAAAAAAAAACAAACCTGTTACATCACTAAGTATTAATAAATATTGTTTTACCTGATTTCTCAATGATACTAAATTCTATAGTAAAGATTCTGTTGTAGAAGTGGAGTAATTTTCTTTTGGTAAACCAGCTCTTATTAAAAAGCCATGAGTTATAGAAATATGCTATTGATTCAGTACATAGATATATTTTTATCATAAACAGGATCAAAGTCTTTTAAAAAAGAGAAAGATTATTTCAGTAATCTGTCACAAACATTAGCCTGTGTGGGCAGGAACTAATAATTGAGGTGCTAATTTTATTAAGATAGTGCCTAAAACACTAAATTTTAATCATGTATAAAATGGGGTTTTCTTTTTGACCAACAGGAACAAAGTACCCTTCTCACTGAACATTACTGTTTTACAAACTTGCTTATATTGCCACTTAATATTCATCCTAAAACAAATGTACAAAATTTGGGTAGATGAACAAACTAGCTTTAAAATGTGCAAATTGAACATATAGAACTCACCCCATTGTCAGTAGCACAGACTGAGCTCTCCCACTTACTCCCTCATAAGAAGCCCATATCTCAGCAAGTTCAGTTCCGCAGTGGAAGCTTAGAGGCCTCTGTATCCCGAGCTTCGGTCACGACTTCAGTTCTGAAGCTGGTCTTAGAAGAAGCCTTTGTCCACAGAGGATTTTCATTCAGTATCAGGCACACATGCAAAGTGACACTGTATTGTTTCAAATGGGGTTATTCAGGTGCATTTTGGTTTTAGCTTGTTCCATGTTTAAATTAATTACTTTGAGTCAGAAAAACCTGAAACCTTTATCATGTGGTTGCTGGTACATGTGATTATTAATGAAATGTTCACTCTTAGTTCCTTTTGAAGCTCAGCATCTCACCCGCGTCAGGTCAACAGTATTATAAACAGCACATTTGTGAATGATGCTTGCTGCCTGCCATTGGCAACCTGCTCTCTTCTAAGAGTGCTAGGTACCAAATTGTAAACGTTTCTGTTTTTAGTTATATTTTGAGGTTGGTGAAGACTAGAAATGTCAGTGTAATGTTGTGGAAACACAAGTTCATATTAAGAAAATGTAAATGTCTGTAGTACTTTCTTGGAGTTCATTTGAAAACTTTGGATGCTGAACTTTATCTGGTTTAGATGGTTTAAAAATGCATGTGTAATTTTAATTTTATAATTATTTTGACAAGCTTAATTTTCTTGGACAACCTTGTAGGTAGCCTTAACTTTCAGCCAATTTTGTTTTTTATATAAATATATATATATATATACATATATATATAATGTATGGTTGTAAATTCATACACTTATCACATGAATGTGTTACTGTATACAGAATCCTTAATGCTTTATTTTCAGATGCTGGGTTGAAAACTGTTTGAAAGCCTTTAAATATATATCTTTATAAAGTAATATTCAGGATGATGATGGAAATTGTTTATATTATTATGATAAAAGACGGAATTATGTTGCCCAGTGTATTTAATGATTTATTTGAAGAGGGAGAGGGGAGGAAGGCTTTTATACACCACTTTCTCCTTTAAATTTTTCAGTTTACTGGATTTTTACAAGTGACTACTTCAGTCAGTGGGCTTTCTTTTCAGCATCATTTAGGTAATTGTAGACATGATTTGGTCTGAATATCTGCCCTTCCTGGTCCTTTTCAGCTTGACATTTAGAGCATTGTATCTGGGACGGAGGCTGGAAGGGGTGTCTCCCTGCAGCCTGCCCTCCAAATTCCCTGCTGCTGCTTGAGGTTTCTTTCAAGCATGGCTGTATTCCTGTGGGTGCAGGGACTGTCCAGTGGTACACGTGGGGAGGAGGACACTCCTCTCAACATTTCAGGTTATATATAGAAAGTGTTTTGTAATAGAACATGCTCTTTCTAAACTTGCCTGCTTCTTGTAAGGCCTTATGCCATGTAGATAATTGTGACCGTTCTTTGCTGCATGAAGTGTAGGTGGGGAGTGGCTGGGGGCACAGACTTCTTTGAATCTGAGAGTACAGTCAATCCATCCCCCGATTAAGTTGTTTGGTTGCTGTGGCAGAATGTGCCATCAGTTCATAAAGGAAATTCTCCATGGAACCTCCCCTTTCCCTACATGATCTGGACATGCCACACCTCCACCATACTTCTGCAGGTCCAGCTCCTAGAGCCCAAGTGCAGGGTTTCCGTAGACCTCTTGACTCACAGGCTGTGTGGGTTGCTGAGTTAGCTGCTGTTTTAGGTGGAGTCACAGTAAGCTCGCTCTTACCCTTTTCTGTGGGCAAGGAGGAAATTTAGAGTGCTTTTACTTTGCTGAAAATGGTGGAACCTTCCCACATGACAGGACATGGCAAACTGTAAGTAAGAAGCAGAACCGGAGCTACCTCTAAGCAGTGTTTTCTCAAGCACACGCTCTCAGGCACATGAGACCCTCCCCGTGGAGGCTTCTCTGATTTCTTGAGCATCAGCAAGTCTCAGAAGTGACTGTTTTTTCTACTCTTCCTGGTCCCCTGCACCCTCATTCTTCCCCCATTCCACACTGTGCTTATTATATGACAGAGACTCTTCTAAGAAGCCAAATTCGGCCACATTAATAGCTAGGACTATTGCAGAACAAAGAAGCGCCCGGAACTGCAGTGGAAGAAGGGTGTCCGTTCTAATAGCCTTCTGGTCCTTCCTGGGAATGGTCCTGTAGGACACGGGTGGTATTTTCAGTGCTTCTCTTCCGTCAGAGGCAACAGTTAATGCCTCTGCTGTTGCTGTTCTTTGGCTGACATGGTTTTGATAATGCTTTAAAATTTCTGCTACAAAGCTTGAGATAGAGTGTTTACCAGTTTCAAATGTTGGCTGCAACTTAAAAATGTTATTCTTCACAGTGTAATAAGTTCACAAGCTAAATTTTCAAAGAGAATTTCTTTTCACATTATGCTTCTTGTCTACTTGGAATCAGAAACATGCCTTTTCAATCCCGGGATTGTCAAACAATAAAGTTATTTCTTAATCTATTTTGGGAAGCATTTTTTTAATTAAAAATCTCAGACATGAGATCGTCCTGCCTGAGACACTTTGCAGTTTTTTTTTTTTTCTCCTTCCTTTTTGGTCCTAGTTATATTTTTAAAATTTCACTCTTCTCTGTCTTCTGACCTTCCATGTTTATCATTGATCCTGTGGTAACCAATCGCTCTCTCCCCTGACATGTACTTTTTAACTTGCCGGTAAGTACCTTCTAACATGCAGACTCCTCCTCCAGGAGGTTCTTCAAATGTCTGTTGACATACAGGGTGTGTGTGCTTATATTTCCTTCTCTTCTCCTTGAAGATAGAAAAGTTGTTTTGCCAAGTGTCTCAAATCCAGGGAAAAATCCTATGCTGAAACGCTCCTGTTACTTGTCAGTTGATGTGTTCAGCACCACTCATGGACGCCGGCAGCCCTGCTCGGCGTGTGTGCAGCTTGGCTAGAGGGAGGCCGTGACGTCATTTTCTAATCTCAGAGCGTTGTGCACGATTGAGCTCACTCCTGACCACTCCCCCTTTCCCAGTGAAACCAAAGAGGCTCAGACCCACTGCTGTCCAGCTAAAGACATGACTCATGTCTGTCGGTCCTCTCTCTGGGTTTTGTCTGGAGAAGGTGGTACAGTTGGACTTTCCTCCCATTTCTTCTCAGTGTAGAACTCTGTGAAGACTTAGATATCTTTGTAAAGTCTAGAAACAAGGGAACATTTCCTAGGTCTGATTAATCAAGGTAGGAATCATTAACATGTAGTACTGAGCCCCAAAGTAAAAAGTACAGTTTCAAAAGGTTTTTATTATGAAACTGATAAATTCTTTAAAAATTAAAAGACGCATTACAGTCTTTGTTTTTCACAATAGGTACTATTCTTCCCTGTGGGCGGTAAAACAAGTTATCTGAAATTGTGAAGGCTGTATGAATTCATGTACAAAGATTCTCATATTGATTCTTGTGGGTCGCCATCAGGATCTAACAGCTAGGCCGAGAGACCATGCAGCATTCTGATGATGCAGCCTTCTGATGCTGGGCTTGTGTTGATGCTGCTGCAGCTGCTTGTAGGAGCTAAATCGTGTCTTTTCTCTGGGATGATATGTGAGGTGCTCAGGAGAGAGCATAGAAAAGGAAAGTAAGTCCCACTGGGCGGTGGTGGTGCACACCTTTAATCCAAGCACTTGGGAGGCAGAGGCAAGCAGATCTCTGTGAGTTTGAGGCCAGCCTGGTCTACAGAATGAGTTCCTGGACAGCCAGGGCTACACAGAGAAACCCTGTCTTGAAAAACTAAAAAAAAAAAAAAAAAAAAAAAAAATGGTAAATCCTGCCTTGGAAGGGTAGAGATGTCAAAGTGGGTTTACATTAATCCCATGCTTATTTACCCAGCAATTGAGAGTCGCAGCTTGTGACAAATTACCACTGCCCGCGTGCAGACCCCTCTGGTTTCACCATGCATTTCTGTGGGGTGTCTGATACGTGTACATTTCCTTAGTAGACATCTTTGTGGTCTGTATATTTGCCCTCCAGTCATACATTCATTGCAGAGAAGCTTGCTGATCTGTTGTATATGTTTATATTTCAAGGAACCTAGAGAAAGCAGACTGCTTTGTCTGGGGTTTCCAGGTTGGTCTAGTAGCTTCAGATAAAAGCCTGCCTTTAGAGATCTCAGTGATAAATGCCGAAGGCTGGGCCTAAAATGCGACCAGTCTTCTCTGCTCATTTTGTAATAAATGGTGTTAGAGTCAGACCCAGTTAACTCAGATGCTTTTTTTTTAAACTTTCTTTCTCACATGATTCATAATAAACATACTAAAAAAGAAAAAAAAAACTTTAATTGAAAATTTTACAATTGAAATGATTTTTCATCTTACAGATTACATACAAATGTTTTTAGACAGTGAAAAGTGCTTAAAAACCAGCTGCACCCAGGCTCACATGCCATTTCCTACGTACAGAACAGGGGCTGTGGAAGCCATGTTTCCCTGGCATCAGGGACTCCCTCCTCTCTTCCTTCCTTGCCCACTGCCCCTGTTCTGTCTGCTGTGGTCTAGTGTGGTGTCATAATTGTTACTTCTGGCGTGCACGGGGACACCGACCATAGCTACAACGAGTCAAGCTCAGGAGGCAGCGGGAGGTGATTGGCATCTCTACTGTGATACCTATTTGACGTATCACCTCCTTTGAGGAAGTGAGCTTCGCAGCTGCCCTTCTTGTCTGAGACTGGAGAATGCAGAGTGAACAGGGAAGGAGTGAAAAGCATAGCCTTGGTAATGACCAGAAAGCACCCATCAAGTGTCACCCCTGCCAAGGCCCCCATTCCCGTTTCCCAGGGCTCATTTTTTAGGCAAAGCGCCAAGACTCCCCAGCCGGCGTTTATGTACCTGGCTTCTCTGAGGCTTAGGCCTGAGCTAAGTGTTAAAGAAGCCAGGGAGCTCAGATCTATATAGCAGAGAGGTTAAGTCTCATATTAAATTTTGCAGCTATTCTGAAGGCCCACCCAGTCTATAAAGCTGTTTCTGATTGTGTGTCTTTGAATTTTCTGGATGTATATATTTTGTTTAGACTAAAACAAGTGTTGCTAGGTGACGTGGTCTCAGCAAGATGTGGACCAGTTCCAGTTTTCACCTACAGGGGACACTTGACATAGGCACCCAAGCACATTGCAAGAACTGGTCTGAGAAGTTGGTGGCTCTGCCAGGTGCAGTTTATGGCTTGATGGCAATACTTCTCTTCCTTCTCCCAGTGTAGACTTGGTCTCCTGAAAGTCCAGAGGTGAAGAGGGGTTAAATATGTCATGGCCTGTGACCTCAGTAGGACCAGAGATACCAACAAGTGATTGCTAAAAGTGGCTTGAAAGGTTAATCCTTTGCAGAACTGTTTTTTTCAAGTTGTTTACCCTATTTTGTTACCAGATTCTTTCTCACTCTGTGGCAGCTCTGGTCTTCTTCCATCCCAGCTGTGCTAAATACCTTTTTCTGCATTAGTTTGAATTTCTCAGGCTAGCCTGGAAGTAAATTACCTTTTCTCTACCAGGCCCTGGAACCTCAGAAGCCACAACATCAGTACTTACCCCTGTCTCCTTTCTCTCCTTTTTGCCCTCGAGGGCCAGGTAGCCCAGGAGGACCTTGTTGGCCAGCAAGGCCCCTGTCACCTAGAAGCACAGAGCGGGCGTGACGTTAGTGCATGAGAACAGGGCTGAAGGTGTGGCACAGTGTGGCACCAGAGGTACTCATAGCACATGATCCCTGCTGCCACCTACCTTTGGGTCCTGGCCTGCCCACCTCTCCCTTTTGCCCAGGTGGGCCTGGAATAGCTCCATATGCTGCAAGGAAGGAAAGAATTTGGCTTTAGACTGGAGGTTGCCGGAGGCTTGGGAGGCCAAGCGGTTTGTTCAGAGCAACACAGATAGACAGTGGTGGAATCTGGACAAGGAACTGGAGCTAGGCTTCACTGGTTTGGTCATCTCAGCTGCAGGGAGGAGGAGGGTTGTCAAGTTGGTGTTTGTGTGTCAGCCCCATGTGAAACTCAGCAAGTTAGTGCTGGGGAAGCCATGGGGGTATTCTTACTCCGGAAGAAGTCCATGAGGTCCTGTGTCACGTTGCTGTAGGCAGAGAAGACCTTGCTGATTCCAGGAGGACCTTGGAGCCCAGGAGGGCCTGGTGGGCCCTGGACAGTGTAGGCCATCCCTTGTAGCAGGCCTTGACCTGCAGAACACCAGGATGCAGGTGTAGGAAGCAGACTCCACTGTGCTGTCTTCAGACTGCCTTTCTCAAAGCAGCTAAACTAGGTGAAACTGCCCTGAGAAAAAAGCCCTGCAGCCTCCTTCCGTGTCCTGAGACTGGCCAGGCCTGTTGGGACATTCCTCGGGGGCATTTGGACTGCAGGACTGTGCTGATGGCCAGAGGGAGAAAGGACCTCTTGGCTAACAACCTCGACAAAGTTCCATCCTGTTGTCACCCTCGGGCTTGCTCTGAGCAGAGCGCCAAGCCCTTCGGTGTGCCCTGGTCCCCACAGCTCGGGTGTCAATACTGGGGTCCCTTGCACTGAGATAGTGGAGACTTAGGAAGGGGTCTCCTCTTTCAGCCCCTGCTCATCTGATTCCAGAGTTGCTATCTTCACATACACTAAAAACAAGGGCCAGTCTGTGAGACTTCTCTGCCAAGGTGCACACATGCTCTTCCCCTCTGAGGTCCGAGGGCTCTAACTTACGCTGCATGCTCTCCGACACCTGCACTGCCAAGGTGCACACATGCTCTTCCCCTCTGAGGTCCGAGGGCTCTAACTTACGCTGCATGCTCTCCGACACCTGCACTGCCAAGGTGCACACATGCTCTCCCCCCCTGAGGTCCGAGGGCTCTAACTTATGCTGCATGCTCTCCGACACCTGCACTGCCAAGGTGCACACATGCTCTCCCCCCCTGAGGTCCGAGGGCTCTAACTTACGCTGCATGCTCTCCGACACCTGCACTGCCAAGGTGCACACATGCTCTTCCCCCCTGAGGTCCGAGGGCTCTAACTTACGCTGCATGCTCTCCGACACCTGCACTGCCAGCTTGTTGTAATCCAGGTCTCCAGGGAAGCCAGCCCGGAATGAATCGCCGTTGGCGCCATACATGCCTCCTGCACCTGCCCCATAACCTCCGCCTGGGCCGACGTCAGTTCCATAGGGGCCCCCATCTCCTGTACCAAAGGTTCCGCCTGCACCCAGGGAGCCTGCGTTGGCCCCCCCTATGCCCATGGAAGAGCTGTAGGAAGAGCCCCGTGTAGCCGAGGAGCTGCTACCCCAGTTGTAGTTCTCCCTTAAGTGACCGTCTCCAGGTGGTCCTTGGGGCCCCGGAGGGCCTGGAGGGCCAACGATGAAGCTGCGGACATCGGGACCTGTGGGGTAGGAAGATGCATTAGCCCAGACTGTGGTGGACAAAAGACTTGGGAGCTAGGGATCTCTAAACTTTGAGGCCCTTGTACATGTACAGAAGAATGCTGGTGAGTAAGAAGCTGGTTTGTC